CCAAAGCCTGTTAAATTATAGACCATCCCTGGCTAAACCTATTCATTGAAGAGTCTCTCTGTAGTCTACATCCAGGATGTGTTGCATGCAGAGAAGAGGATGAGGGCCAAAAACACAATCAATTCACGAAGTAGGGGATCATGGGAAAGAGAGGATAAGGTGCTTAGCATCATTCATACATTTCCCAGTCGGTGGTGGATTAATGTATATCGCTACAACCACCTAAAAGGAAGTGATTCCCAAACCTTCCATAACAAAGCCATCACCTACAGAGAGATGAACCTGGAGAAGAGTCCCCTAAGCAAGCTGGTCCTGGGGCTCTGTTCACAAACACAAACAGACCCCTCAGAGCCTCAGGACAGCAACACAATTAGACCCAACCAAATCATGAGAAAACAAAAAGAGACACATTGGAAATATTTTTTTTTAAAATCAGAGCAAACTAGAATGCTATTTGGCCCTAAACAGAGAGTACACAGTGGCAGAATACCTGACCACTGTGACTGACCCAAAATTAAGGAAAACTTTGACTATGTACAGACTCAGTGAGCATAGCATAGGCTTGCTATTGAGAAAGGCCCCCGTAGGCAGACCTGGCTCTCAAGAGAAGACAGGCTATGTGCAAACTGCCCACAAAATGAGGTGGAAACTGAGCTGCACTTCCTAACCTCCTGCCAAATGTATGACTATATTAGAGACACATATTTCCCTCAGATTACACAGACCCACACAATTTGAAATCAAATCCAATTTTGATAAACTCCCATATCTATTGGGTGAAATACCATAGTGTGCCATCACAGCATCAAGATTTGTGACCTGTTGCCAAAAGAAAAGGGCAACCTCCAAGAACAAACAGCATTGTAAATACAACCCATATTTATGTTGATTTATTTTCCCTTTTGTACTTTAACTATTTGCACATTGTTACAACACTGTATATAGACATAATATGACATTTGAAATGTCTTTATTCTTTTGGAACTTTTGTGAGTGTAATGTTTACTGTTTTTTATTGTTTATTTCACTTTTGTTTATCTATTTCACTTGCTTTGGCAATGTAAACATATGTTTCCCATGCCAATAAAGTCCTTAAATTGAAATTGAATTGAGAGGGAGAGAGAGGGACGGAGGGGAGCGAGAGAGCGAGAGAGAGGGGATACAGACACCCTATCACCACTTTCTCTACCTCTTCCATCACCCCTTCACCCTACCTGTCACTTGCCTAATGAACACACAGCCAATGACATGCATTTAATGAGGACCAGGCCTGTCAACAGTCAGCCACAAAGTGGCTGTGAGAAGAGATTAGACACAAAACACTACAGCTACACAACATAGACACAAACTACTGAAATAACCCTAGCTGATCTGATCTCCTCAGACTGGAATGGGTCCAAGTTAAGGACTACCTCCATATAGTAACCCCGTTCCAAGGTAAGGACTACCTCCATATAGTAACCCCGTTCCAAGGTAAGGACTACCTCCATATAGTAACCCCGTTCCAAGGTAAGGACTACCTCCATATAGTAACCCCGTTCCAAGGTAAGGACTACCTCCATATAGTAACCCTCTTCCAAGATAAGGACTACCTCCATATAGTAACCCCGTTCCAAGGTAAGGACTACCTCCATATAGTAACCCCGTTCCAAGGTAAGGACTACCTCCATATAGTAACCCCGTTCCAAGGTAAGGACTACCTCCATATAGTAACCCCGTTCCAAGGTAAGGACTACCTCCATATAGTAACCCCGTTCCAAGGTAAGGACTACCTCCATATAGTAACCCCGTTCCAAGGTAAGGACTACCTCCATATAGTAACCCCGTTCCAAGGTAAGGACTACCTCCATATAGTAACCCCGTTCCAAGGTAAGGACTACCTCCATATAGTAACCCCGTTCCAAGGTAAGGACTACCTCCATATAGTAACCCTCTTCCAAGATAAGGACTACCTCCATATAGTAACCCCGTTCCAAGGTAAGGACTACCTCCATATAGTAACCCCGTTCCAAGGTAAGGACTACCTCCATATAGTAACCCCGTTCCAAGGTAAGGACTACCTCCATATAGTAACCCCGTTCCAAGGTAAGGACTACCTCCATATAGTAACCCCGTTCCAAGGTAAGGACTACCTCCATGTACTGTAGCAACCCTTGTGCGGTTACAGTCGACACTGTGAAATTCCGTGGGCAGAAGAAATATAAATTCAAGTTTTGAAGAGCTTTACCAAAACCTACTATACTCTCTGTCTCTCAAGTGCCCTTTGTTCCTGATATAAGGGTTATTACTGTGTCTCTAATGAAAGCTCTCTCCTGAGCCAGAGGAACCATTAGTTTAGCTCTTTAGAGAATATAAATAGGATGAGCTGAGCTGAGCTGAGCTCGCTTGGCGCTGAACAACACCTCACCAGCAGACTAATGACACTTCTGGTGGAGAGAGGGCGTGAGGTGGGGTGATGGCTGGAATTTCAAACAAGACACTCACCCAGCCAGGCCGTGAATGGCACGCAACTCACCCAGTGGTCAGCCATCCGTGTCCTCACACGCGTGTGATTGTGAGTATGAGTGGTTCCTGTCTGTCTGCTCACACACAAGACAATACACTGTTTGTTCGCACTGTTGAACACACTGTATGCAGTAATGCAGCTTTCTTGAACATACATGTAACACATGTACAACTGTAGATTGAATAGTCTCTACGACATAGTGTACTCTACATTCAGTGCCATAGTATTTGTCGACCTAGATATCAACGCTAAAATGAATGTGCTTTGCTCTCTGTTACTCTGCCCTGGCCTAGCCACAGCCCAGCTCAAATAGGTCACACTATGGGCCATAATTAGATGCAATGTCGAAGATTGTGAATTATTGATGACAAGGGAGGAAACCTCAAATCGACTGGTTTCAACCGGGTTTTAAAGGGACCGCTGGAGCTTTGGGGACAGTTATATTTAGGGACACTTTTTCAAAGTTTCACCAAATAAATCTTTGCTTGAGTTTTGCATGACTCTGTGAGCAAGGCAAGGCTGCATTGTCACCAAGACATATTATTGTATTTTCCAGCTGGGGACTTTGTGGAGAAGTGGACCGTTTATTTCTGACTGAGGGACATAGTGTATGATGATATTAATCCCCTGTGTAACTACCTACACCTGCTAGGTCTACTGAGTCAGAACTGATCTGGCAGAACGAAGCACCTGGATGATCCATAAAAGACCAGGGTGTTACTTCTGGAATACATCCATGAGCACAATACAGTGACAACAGCCATTAATCAGACCTCAGGGTCAGGGCCGGCGCTACTTGGTGACAAAGCCGGGGCGCATTTTCCCACCGGAGTTGTTTCCATCAAATTGACTTGTCTATAAAAGGCTGTGCTTGATTACGCAGTGCACATAAACATACATTTTGCGGTTAAATTCCCATGTACCGAATAAAAAATACAAGTTAAATGGATTTCCATCACATTTTCAACTCTACTGATGGTTTTCTCACAACAACTGTTGCGTTATATCGCGTGTGCCCATTCTGGTATTGGCACGTGCGCTCTAGCCAACAACTCACAAATATAGTGCGGGTATAGATTATTATGGACAAAATATATTATTTTTATTTGTCAAAAGGCAGCAAGCATCGACGATCATGTCAACAGAACAAGAACCTCGATATTTATTGGAAATGAGCATCAAGCTCATCACCCTGCACTTTCACCACCTCTGTGAAGTTCATAATGTATTCCATCTGTAGCCTAACTGCATGCTTTCCCGACTAGTCGATGAAAAGTACTTCATACTTCGATATGGTTATTATACCAATATTTGCGCATAAAAGCGTTTCCACCGACATTTCTCGCATACTACATTTTACCGACACAAAAAGATCCCAAACTGTCTAGCGTATTTTGTTTACCGACAAATGTTATGTTTGCATTAGACCAGTCATTACATTTTTGATCAGACATGTACTTTAGTCGCATAATAAAAGGTTGGATCATGGAAACCTGGTTACAGAGATTTAAAAAAAAAAGTAGTTCACTTTTGCACACAGCTACAGCTAATAGGCCAACTAATAGCTACTAGTTTCGTTGACTGTTGGTAGCGGTACGCGCAGACCCTTTTCTTTCTGGACAGATCTGTCTCTACACGTTCCAACTACAGAATCCATATTAGGAAGTCCCTTTGTTAGATCTCCCCTTCGTCAGAAAACTAACAGATTTGCTGATATATGCCGTCGGAGAGGAATAGACAAAATTCAACTGGTTTGTTCTGGTCAATATACTTGAATCTTATTGTCAAACTATCTGATCCGATTGGTCAAAAGACCAAATTAGCGCCAAAATATTTGAATTGGGCTGCTGGTGTAAATGCAAGCATACGTGCTCCAGGGTCTTTTTGCCAGACCAAGTGATGACAACTAATCAATGAAAGAACAGCACCACCCAGTGGATGTATGTGGTAGCACAAATAACCATTATAAAATGCACAAGACCATGTTGTGTTTGTGTGTAAAAACGACAGTTTTACACGTTTATTTGGGTTCCCAGTACACACATGAAGGATTTGTTCAATAGAGTGTCTGCTTTAGGACCTCCTAATACACAGTTATGGCAGAATAGAATGTGGTCTGAGGGAGTAACAGGTCAACCGACTAGTTAGTTGTAACTCAGAACTGCAGTCCTATATACAATCTTATCTAGAGATCTTTTCATAGAATGGCGATTGGTTAATTAGACATTTATCAATATTGAAGAATAGCGACTTGTTGATGACTTGTTACAATCACAAGGCTTTTTGTAAATACGCCGAGATATCTTTTTAAATGCACTTCACAGCAGATATAACAAACTTCATTTATAGCTCTAGAATAATCTGCCATACATTTTAGGAGGCACAGCCTTTGGCATCCACAAGACAGAAAATGGCCTAGTCCCTAATCAACCCCTAGACCCTAAGCACTCGAGATCCCACCAGCGCATAAGAGGTGTGAATCTCAAACGGCACCCTATTCCCTATGTAGTACACTACTATTGACCAGGACCTAGTGTTTTCCCCAGCTGGGAACGTTGTGGGCCCTGGTCAATAGTAGTGCGATACATAGGGAGCCATTTTGGACACAGCCATAGGGTCTATGAGGGGTTGATTTGGGTAAGGGCCTACGTATCTCCTCGGACTACCCATGTGTGATTAGTTGGATTGCCAATCATATACAATTTGTGCCCTCCCCTTAGAAGACAAGCAGACAAACAGCCTCCACGGTAAGATAGACGCTGTACTTCTGCAGCCTTCAACCAACAAAGTTATACATCTCTACAGATACAGGTATTACACCAAGAGAGGAAGATTTCTTTCGTTCTTTATATCAAAAAAGTTTAAAGACCTGAGTATTTCAAGGAATAAGGTTGTTTCTTAACATACAAAAACGTACGCGCATTTACGTTGACACTCTGTAAACCGCCACCAGGCTGCTCTCTTCCCTTATGTGATTGAAACATGCACATCATTAATAACACCAACCTTCTTTATCTCCTTAAAAGAACAGAATTCAAATCTGGAATTTTGTCAATCACAGAACCAGTGAACGTGGCTCACAGGGGTTTTTAGCAAGCAGACAGGTAGCATTACAACACTGTGTATATATCATGTTGTGGACATTTCTGAAGAGCCTTAAAGCATCAATAATTATTACCGTGTGTGGACAGGACTGACTGGGTGATGAAGTTACTTTCAGATAACTTAAAGGTTATAAAATCATTTTTTAAAATCATAAAAACCTATATATCTTTTTCAGAATTGTTTTCTCCTCTCCATCCAACAACTCCTCCTAGCCTGGCATCCAGAGCTGTTTGTCCAATCTTGCCAACTCAAATGTCAAGCCAAACATGTTTAGAAGGAGTTGGCAAGAGAGCCAAACAGCCTGCACCCATGCTAAACGATGAACTCTGTCTGGATTTACAGGTTCATTCCTTGGGCACTTAGCAGAGAGTCCAGCATGTCAAAAGTGTCTTTGTAGTCGGTGTGTTGGCCGTTAGAACCCAGCACTCCGTTTGACCCCTCCGGGCCACCGTGGTGTCTCTCCACCGTCCTCGTGCCGCCACTGCTGTCCGAAGAGTAGTGGGAGGAGCCTCCGGCGCCTTTGGAACTCCTGCTGCTCTTAGCAGAGTGGTGGTGGTTGTTGTGACTACTGACGTCGGGGTTGGCCCGTTTCCTGGAGGAGGAACTGGAGCCCCCCAGGTCGCTACCATGGCCCCCGAGGACTCTGAGGGCCAGGGCGGGGTCGATGGCCCCTCGGCCATTCCCGCTGAGGGCATAGGGGTGCGAGTGGCCGTGCTTGGGGTGTCTGCTGGGGCCAGAGTGGTCTTTGTACTTCTCTTTGCCTTGTGGGACACCAACATGGCCGCCCTGGTCCCGCTCAGCCGAGACTTTGATTCTCATCTTCAGCTCCTCGTTGCTGGCCGCAACGCCGTTCTCAACAGCCAAGGCCTGTGGTGGGAGACTGCGTATCTTTTTAGAGCTGGCCTTGTCCCTCCTACTGTCCCCGTGCTGGGGGACACCCTGCCCAGGCTGGGAGCGTCTTTTATGGGACTGCGGGTGAGAGAGGGCGGGGGACTGGTACATGTCCACACCGCTCTGCTCCTCTCTGACACCGTTCTGCATGGCCTGCAGATCTGCTGCCTGTTTCTCTCTGTACTTGTCCAGGGACAGTTTCTGTGGGGGGCGGGTGAAGGGCGAGGGGTTACTGGGCAGTGCCTGTGGATGCTTGCCTGCACTGCCCGTTTTGTGTTCGTGTTTGCCTGATGGGTACTTTGAAGGGACGGCTTGAGGAAGAAACGAAAGGCCCTGGTCCAGACCCAGCAGCTCAGCCTGGTCACCAGCCAGGGCCTGGTAGGGAGGGAACGGGACAGACATGTCGTCTAGTGAAGGCATCTCCCCAGAGTCTGACAGAGACGAAGGGAAGAACGAGTTGCTGCCGGACACACCGGTGATGCTGTCCAATGAGGAGGTCCCTTGGAAGATGGTGTCGCCCGACTGGCTGTCCATCTTCGGCTTCTTGGCAGCTTGCGTGGCCTGGAATGGAGATGTCGTGAAATTCAGTTAAAAAGGCAACACCAAAACATTCCACCCCAAATGTCAGTCAATATCATTCAGAAGACAAATCTGATGAAATAGTGAAGTAGTAGCTACTAGTGCTAAATGCTGTAAGACTTACACCAGTTGTGAGAGCAGAACCTACCCTCCAGTTGCGTATCCTTTTCAGCCTGCTGGGCGTCTTTTCCAGAATCTGCAGGAATTCATTGGTCAGCTCTACATCGGACACAAAGACAACTATTAGAACCCCGAAGGTTCCCTGCATCCACCTTCACCACATTGTATCCCCCTGCGTTGTCTCCCCCTGCGTTGTCTCCCCCTGCGTTGTATCCCCCTGCGTTGTATCCCCCTGCGTTGTATCCCCCTGCGTTGTATCCCCGTTTCTGTGCAGTCTGAATAAACAACAAGAAATACTAACGGAGGGTGGAATTACACTACAGACCCCCCGAAGGTTCAACACCTTCAACCAACTGTTCCCAATTCCACTGTCCTCCTGCCCTATATCCCCCTACGAGGGTGGAATTCCACTGTCCTCCTGCCCTATATCCCCCTACGAGGGTGGAATTCCACTGTCCTCCTGCCCTATATCCCCGTACGAGGGTGGAATTCCACTGTCCTCCTGCCCTATATCCCCCTACGAGGGTGGAATTCCACTGTCCTCCTGCCCTATATCCCCCTACGAGGGTGGAATTCCACTGTCCTCCTGCCCTATATCCCCCTACGAGGGTGGAATTCCACTGTCCTCCTGCCCTATATCCCCCTACGAGGGTGGAATTCCACTGTCCTTCAAATCAAATAAGAACACTCAAATGTTTCTCACCGTCCAGCAGTGTGAGTGTGACGGTGCGGTCCAGATACTCCCACCAGTGTTTCCCATCAGTAGAGACAGGGATCTCCCAGTTGGACCATTTACAGGCCAGGTGGATGCAGACGCAGGCGATGACCGTGGGCTTGTGCTGCAGGCAGAAGGTGGTGAGGTGGAGGCTGTTGGAGGGGAGACAAGACCACAGAGGAGACACCTGTTAGCTACAGTTCCAGGATGGGAATACACAACATCAGTACTAGCCCTGGGACATGGCTGGAGACCCTATGGAAGTGCTTTTCAAACCTTTCCGCGGACTTGATGATTAGTTGACAAGTCGAATCAGGTGTGCTAATTGTGGAACAGTTCAAATACATGGAAGGGCTGGGGGGGTCCCCAAGGAGAGGTTTGAACCCCTGCTCTATGAGGTCTCTAGACTAGAACCATGTCTCTGGTCTAATACAGCTCAGAGTATAATAGATCTGCATGCATACAGTTCATATAATACTATGTTCATATTTCAGACTGTTGTGGAGAGTGAGTGACAGAGGCACATACCCCGGTGGTTTCTATGATGGATGATCGAGGTTGTTTCCCTTACCATTGCCTACAGAATTGTACCTTATGAAACTGATACATTTACAACAACCTAGATGGTAAACTTGTTCTTTGAGAGTACTGAGCATTTTTATATTGGGATCAAGCTTGTTTCCTAGAGATCATTGATTTCCACCATCCACCTGCTTTGTTCCAGTCCAGCCTGTCAAGTCATGCCATCTCACTCATACATTTGCACACATCATTCCTTTAAATGTCCTTTTTCAAATGGTTCAATAGCCTAACATTGCAAAAATCTGGGCAATTGTTAACCAACAAGAATGATCTGTATGTTTATTCATGGAGAGCTCTGGCGCCCAAAACACATACATCCTGTTTTATACCTCGACACACAAAGGCACTTTGCTACGCCCACCTTTAGGAGGCTTTCTTAAACAGTTTCCACCTTTCTCCTTCACCCTGGAATGTTTAGTCCCGCCCCCCTCTGTTAGTGGGTTGATAATTCTAACACAGTTTACACATTTATACTGTATTTGGGGTGAAATCCTTTAGTCATTATTCTTAAAATACAAATTAATCTAACAGCAATCTTGAGGAAAATAATTAATATCCCAAATGTAGTAAAATCTTGTACGATATAATGAATTGTAATGTTTAGATTCTAATAAGGTAAAGAAGAGGATACCTATAGCTTACAAGTCCCTCATACAGTGGGGGAAAAAAGTATTTAGTCAGCCACCAATTGTGCAAGTTCTCCCACTTAAAAAGATGAGAGAGGCCTGTAATTTTCATCATAGGTTCACGCCAACTATGACAGACAAAATGAGAAATAATTTTCCAGAAAATCACATGGTAGGATTTTTAATAAATGTATTTGCAAATTATGGTGGAAAATAAGTATTTGGTCAATAATAAAAGTTTCTCAATACTTTGTTATATACCCTTTGTTGGCAATGACACAGGTCAAACGTTTTCTGTAAGTCTTCACAAGGTTTTCACACACTGTTGCTGGTATTTTGGCCCATTCCTCCATGCAGATCTCCTCTAGAGCAGTGATGTTTTGGGGCTGTCGCTGGGCAACATGGACTTTCAACTCCCTCCAAAGATTTTCTATGGGGTTGAGATCTGGAGACTGGCTACTCCAGGACCTTGAAATGCTTCTTACGAAGCCACTCCTTCGTTGCCCGGGCGGTGTGTTTGGGATCATTGTCATGCTGAAAGACCCAGCCACGTTTCATCTTCAATGCCCTTGCTGATGGAAGGAGGTTTTCACTCAAAATCTCACGATACATGGCCCCATTCATTCTTTCCTTTACACGGATCAGTCGTCCTGGTCCCTTTGCAGAAAAACAGCCCCAAAGCATGATGTTTCCACCCCCATGCTTCACAGTAGGTATGGTGTTCTTTGGATGCAACTCAGCATTCTTTGTCCTCCAAACACGACGAGTTGAGTTTTTACCAAAAAGTTCTATTTTGGTTTCATCTGACCAAATGACATTCTCCCAATCCTCTTCTGAATCATCCAAATGCACTCTAACAAACTTCAGACGGGCCTGGACATGTACTGGCTTAAGCAGGGGGACACGTCTGGCACTGCAGGATTTGAATCCCTGGCGGCGTAGTGTGTTACTGATGGTAGGCTTTGTTACTTTGGTCCCAGCTCTCTGCAGGTCATTCACTAGGTCCCCCTGTGTGGTTCTGGGATTTTTGCTCACCGTTCTTGTGATCATTTTGACCCCACGGGGTGAGATCTTGCGTGGAGCCCCAGATCGAGGGAGATTATCAGTGGTCTTGTATGTCTTCCATTTCCTAATAATTGCTCCCACAGTTGATTTCTTCAAACCAAGCTGCTTACCTATTGCAGATTCAGTCTTCCCTGCCTGGTGCAGGTCTACAATTTTGTTTCTGGTGTCCTTTGACAGCTCTTTGGTCTTGGCCATAGTGGAGTTTGGAGTGTGACTGTTTGAGGTTGTGGACAGGTGTCTTTTATACTGATAACAAGTTCAAACAGGTGCCATTAATACAGGTAACGAGTGGAGGACAGAGGAGCCTCTTAAAGAAGAAGGTACAGGTCTGTGAGAGCCAGAAATCTTGCTTGTTTGTAGGTGACCAAATACTTATTTTCCACCATAATTTGCAAATAAATTCATTAAAAATCCTACAATGTTATTTTCTGAATTTTTTTCCCTCAATTTAATAAGATAGAGAATTATGGATGATCATTTTACTACTGGAGTATTAGGTGTGTAAATTATTACTACTAAATATTACTAAGAATTTGCTTGTTACCCTTACATATTAGCTTATATTTGTCAAACGTAAATCAAGAAAAGAAAAGAAAACGTTATTAATACTTACCGGGACAGATTCTATAGTTTACATCTTTTCACTGATCTTTAGTGGCAAGCTATATTCAGGCTACCAATTGTGTTTTAGGAAGGAGGAGACATATGCACTCTGTAGCAACCAAATGGTCAGGGAGGACGTTCTACAGCACCACTAACACTTCACATTGTGCATTCAACCCCTATGTGCCAACACTGAGCCCTTGTACAATACACCGCACTGCTGCAGCCTGGCTGGCTGTCCGGTACCGCCCCTAGGGGTTTCCCAGAAACCTGCCTGGCGCAAAGAGGGCGTTGGACACAGGAAGGGGGACCTGCCAGTACAGGAAGCTATAGTGTGCCATCACAGTGCAACATAGTGGTGGTGGGGGGGGGGGGGGGGGGGTCAGGATAACAACCTGTTGGTAGCCATGAAATAGGAAGTCTGTGCCAAATCCTTGCTTGCTGTAATAGAAGGAAGAGAAAGGTCAAAGGTTAGCTCGGAATCTCAGACTAGCACTGGAATAAAATAAAATGACGACAACATATTATTATAACAACTGGTTACATCCAGCAGAGGTTTAATAAAAGGTACGTGTCTGTGTGTGTGTCAAAGACGAGAGAAGGTGATGAGATGGAAAGACAAAGAAAGGAGCCTGTACCTCGCACTAGCTGGGAACATCTCACAACATCAGTGTGAGGATGTTCAATTGTTATTTCAAAACCTGAAAACAATGGAATGGAACATTATTAGATATTACAAAAGGCCCATAGGTCATCCAGTGTGCAAATGAACCAGACATGACCATGACTGCATCCCAAATGGTACCCTATTCCCCTTTATATTGCACTACTTTTGACCAGGGCCAACTGGGCAAAAGTATTTTACTGTGTGTAAAGCATAAGGTGCCATTTGGGATGCAACTCATAAAGTTTCCATTTATCATCCATCTATAGACAGATCCTTACCCAGCGTCTGCAGTACTATCGTTTCTAGTATCACCAGCTCCTGAGCTTGCTGATGGTATGCCTAAAGTTCAACAGATTTCATATTTGTAATATGTCGCTCTCTCTCTAGCAATATGACAGAGATCCACAACACCCAGGTACAGAGGCCTCACTTACATTGCTCTTGGTGTCTAGTGGTGCATCCTGGGGGTTGACACAGGCGTGGGCCACTTTGATGACATGTTCAAGCTTCCTAGGCTGTTCCTCAACCTTCGCGGCCAGGAACAAGGTTGTTTGGGAGATGATCTGTAGGGTCAAAGAAATTAAGGTTGGGCGGTATCCAGATTTTCATACCATCCTCCTCTCATACCGGGAATTACGGTATTACAGACTTAGTGCACAAGGGGGCGCCAAAAACGGGGTGAAAAAGCCTATTGTGCATCTATTACCAGAATGCTAACAGAATGAGCACAAGTCATTTCCATGGAGGCTGCTAGCTAAATATGCTATCGAGCGCAAACGGAAATGTTTTTTGGAGTTCAACATATTTTTTATATAGGAAGGAGCTACAGAACGTCATTTTTGGTGAGTTTGTACATTTACAAGCGAATGTGAATGAGAGACATTGTGCAAATGAACAATACTGCAACGGGCAACGGGCCTGCCTGCTCTGAGAAGATGGGGAGGAGCAGACAGGCCCAGAACAGAGAGGAGGAAAAACACAAGGATTTGAAAAGATATCTGTACAGCTGCCACTACCAACTCATCCCAAGGGCTTTGACATCTCAAACACGGCAGAAGGCGAAGACAATATGATTGCCCGTCACCTTATTAATTCAGCCACTTACTGAGATAACTAGCAAGTTAAACTTAGGGGTCGCGTTAAAGCAGAATTGTTCAGTTTTTCAAGCAGGAAAAATATATATTTCTTATGAGTTTTATCTTGCTGTGTTTTGTAAATGCAGACCTAAAATGCTTCTTATTGTAATTTCTGCTCTGCATCAGACTAATTTTGTGCTTCAGTTGCACTTCTCCACTCCCATCTGGACAAGAGGAATACCCATGTAAGAATGTTGTTCTTTGACTATAGCTCAGCCTTCAACACCATAGTACCCTCCAAGCTCTTCATTAAGTTTGGGGCCCTGGGTCTGAACCCCACCCTGTGCAACTGGGTCCTGGACTTCCTGACGGGCCACCCCTAGGTGGTGAAGGTATGAAACAACACCTCCACTACGCTGATCCTCAACACAGGGGCCCCACAAGGGTGCATGCTCAGCCCCCTCCTGTTCACCCATGACTGCGTGGCCACGCACGCCTCTAACAATCATCAAGTTTGCAGACGACACAACAGTAGTAGGCCGGATTACCAACAATGACGAGAAAGCCAACAGGGAGGAGGTGAGGGCCCTGGTGGTGTGGTGCCAGGAAAATGACCTCTCCCTCAACAAAACAATGGCGCTGATCGTGGACTTCAGGAAACAGCAGAGGGAGCATCAACGGGGCCGCAGTGGAGAAGGTGAAAAGATTCAAGTACCTCGGCGTACACATCACTGACTATCTGAAATGGTCCACCCACACAGACAGTGTGGTGAAGGCGGCGCAACAGCACTTCTTCAACCTCGGGAGGCTGAAGAAATTCAGCTTGGCCCCCCAAGACCCTTACAAACTTTTACAGATGCACAATTGAGAGCATCCTGTCGGGATGTATCACCGCTTGGTATGGCAACTGCACCGACTGCAACAGCAGGGCTCTCCAAAGAGTGGTGCGGTATGCCCAACGCATCACCGGGGACACACTGCCTGCCCTCCAGGACACCTACAGCACCTGATGTCGCAAGGCCAAAAAGATCATCAAGGACATCAACCACCCGAGCGACAGCCTGTTCACCCCGCTATCATCCAGAAGGCGTGGTCAGTACAGGTGCATCAAAGCTGGGACCGAAAGACTGAAAAACAGCTTCTATCTCAAGGCCATCAGACTGTTAAATAGCCATTACTAGCCTGCTACATTTACATTTGAGTCATTTAGCAGACGCTCTTATCCAGAGCAACTTACAGTTTTTAGTGAGTGCATATATTTTTCATACTGGCTCCCCGTGGGAATCGAACCCACAACCCTGGCGTTGCAAGCGCCATGCTCTACCAACTGAGCTACCACCCGGTTACTCAACCCTGCACCTTAGAGGGCTGCTATCCTATGTACATAAACATGGAATCACAGGTCACTTTAATAATGTTTACATACTGTATTCTACTGTATTTTAGTCAATGCCACTCCGACATTGCTCGCCCTAATATTTATACATTTCTTAATTATATTCAGATGTGTGTATTGTTGTGAATTGTTAGATACTACTGCACTATTGGAGCTAGGAAAACAAGCATTTCACTACACCCGCAATAACATCTGCTAAATATGTGTATGTGACCAATAAAATGTGATTTGATTTTGATGAGAATTCACACATGCATTCAGCAGACAGCGCTCTGATTGACATGTAGTTACTTTTCTCAGTGTAGCCTGCCTACCTTTCTCCAGTAAAATGTAAGATTAACTTTGAGAAAAACATTAGAATGTAGTCAGCTACATTTCCTATCTATGATAAAAAGAAATGATGGCCATGCATCATTTTTGCAAAAACAACCTTGCTTTTTAATTGTAAGCTCATTTAGCCTACCTGTGTGGCTGCCAGCCAAATAGCGTTGCACTTATTCTATTTTCTGCCAAATGTGTTGTATTTTCTGTGAAGGAAAACTAAAGTTGCAAGTCCCTGATCCCTCTATTGAAGAAAAAAACACTTGACTTTCAATATAAAACGCGACCTCTGTCATTACACAGTTGGACTCACCTGCTCCCGCTTTCTCCAGTTTTGCTATTTACAAACAAACAGAGACTGGCTCAACTGTTCTGGGGAACTAGTGTAGGTAGTCCCTTGTAGCTCAGTTGGTAGAGCATGGCGCTTGCAACGCCACGGTTGTGGGTTCGATTCCCACGGGAGACCAGTACGAAAATGTATGCACTCACTAATGTAAGTCGCTCTGGATAAGACCATCTGCTAAATTACTAAAATGTAGATGGTAAGCTTCATAATGTAAAATAATGTGACAGGAGAAATTAAGAACGCAATCTGCTTTCTCTCCTAACATATTGCACAAGTTGACTGCAGGTATTAACTTAAAAAGTAGCTACAAATATTAAAATGTAAAGAAACATTTCAAATTAATAGTTTCCACATGCAAATTTCAACGTTATAGACAGCATTGAAAAACCATCCCGTGGCTATTTCCAAATACCCAGGTGTACGGTATATAAGGTATACCACCCAAGCCTAAAAGAAATCCATCAGATCTCCCTTGTAGATAGAAGTTAGCCTTGTCCCAGATCTGTCTGTGCTGTCTTGCCAACTGCAAGTCATTGTCACACCAAGCACAATGACCATAAGAGTTGGCAAGACAGCACAGACAGATATAGGAAGAAGCTAGATAGAAATAGTTAGAGAAAGAAAATACAAAAAAGATTGATGTTACAATTGAGATGGTGATTACTTACATTCCTATGAAACTTGGTGAAAGAGTGAATCATATAAAATCTATGCATGTAAACGATTGCAGTGTTGATGATGAGTTGAGAGCTGAATACAAGACTTAAGGTATTCCAAGTGATATGTGGATTGAAACAACAGAAATACTGCAATCAAAGCATAAACTACCTAACATCCTAGCTGGCTGATGTCATTTACTGGTAGTTGGCTGGCAATCCACCTAGCTTTGTTCCCATCTAAGCTAGTTAGCTCACGTTCGCTAACGTTAACCACTAACGTTTCTCCCATAATGAGACAGAGCTGACCAAGATGTCACAATTAACTACCTCGTGAGATAACATAACACAAACCATATTATATATGCTCATAAATCTGATTAACTAATAGTTATTTGTACATCCAGCCGGCTGAGTAGACGATAACAGGGTTGCTAAAGCGAACGGCTAGCAGGCCATAATAGCTAGCTGATCACATAACAGAACGAGGTTAGCATGGTAGCTATCTAGTTAGCTGAATAACTAGCTAGTCTAACAACCTCAAGTTACCGTCACTGCGTTAGGTACCCTATTTTGTAATCAAACCAAAACCTTAGTCGAAGTTATAAATTCAACTAGTATTTTAAAAATGGACACATTTGGTTGTGTTTCAGTTACTTGAAAATAAAACTAACTAGCTGGCTACTAGGTACCAAGCTAACAAACGGCACAACCATTTTGGGTAGCTAGTTAGCCTAGCTGCCACATAGCGGGCTGAAAGCCTCATTTTCAGACAGGATACACGTTGAGTCTCTGGCCCATATCCTGAATTAGGTTGGCGGCTTGCTGTCGGTAAGAAAGTTCCCTATCAGATTCGACTCCACTGCGGCGCGACGGCGTTGTTTCTAGTTGCTCCCGGGAAAAGAGCCATTTCGAAGAAGGTCCCCGGTGCACCGCCATTGCGCTCCAGCAACTATCCCCTGGTGGCTCGAGTGTGTAGGGAGCGTAGGAAAAACCATCACGCGCATGCGCTTTGGCTACTCTCCTAGGACTAGTAAGCCAATTTCTCAACAAATTAGCACTATTTTAAATTCCAATACAGCAAAAAATCTCTCACAAATTGTGTAAAAATCATGAATACGATAATAGGTCCATTCTATCCAAAGTTGCAGGCTCAAAATCGTGTAAAAATAAAAAAAAGAATACACCCAGTATCCCATACTTCCCCGCGCGTGGAGATTCTACAGCGGCTCCTCTTTAGATATCGACGGTCGAAAAAACACCCAATCATTACACACGCACCCTTTGCCAACATGAAGGCGGATAGGGGAGCCCCTGCCATTGAAATACAAGAATAAAACTTGTAAATTCAAGAGGTAGCGAATCCCCATAGCCTACGAAAATAGATGCGACACCGAATTAATATTTTGGGTGAGGCAACTCTTTTACTGCAATGTGCAATAGCGTTCCAGGATCTTTGAATGTGGGGATGGCTTATGCAGGCCTCGGGCCCAGGCATAGATCCTAGCTAGCTTATGCGTTAGCATAACTATCCAAAGTTCCTTTTCATTCGCTAGTTAACTAGCTAGCTACCAAACTGCGTTTTCAGATACGATCTCTGGCAAAAATATGCATAAATGACTAGTTAACTAACGTGTTAGTAACTAGTCAGCAGCAATATGCTAATGTTGTTAACTCTTCATCAGCGCCTGACCTGGGTGTATTCATTTAAGGCGATTCTGTTGCAAAACATTTCTTAAACGGAAGCAAATGGAACGAAATGGGGAGGGACCTACCTGAATGTGTCCAATAAAAACTCTCGTTTTAGTTGCAAAATTGAACGTTTTGCAACTGTTTCGACTAATGGACCCCAGATCAGTGTGTAGTATGTAAAAAGATTAACAAAATCCCCAATGTTTCTTTGCATCAATTTGCTACAATAGTTTCAAATGGAAATGTCAACCAGGCTGTTGTGTTTGACAAACAAACGTTGAATTGTTTTGTTTGTTGTTTATAGTGAAGTGCTGTATGTACCAATGCAGGTTTACAATATATTCTTCTACCATTGCAGCCCTGCAGAATGTCCAAGATAAGGCGGAGGGTAACAGTGGAGAATTCTAAAACCATATCTGACAGTAGCAGTAGCCAGACCACCACCACTCCGTCTCGCCGGCCCAGCGTGTTTGAAAGACTCGGCCCCAGCACTGGTAGTAATGCTGTCGAGGTGTGTAACTCTACACCTGCATCTAACCCACTGACAGATACAACACATGCATGTCCAGAGAAGGTAGAGAAAGAACATCTTTGAATTTGGATTCATCAGAGCTAAACCCTATTTCTGCCTCATGAAATGACACTTTCTTGCTTTCTTCCTTTCAGACTAATTGTAGAAATTGGTTGAAGACTGGGAATTGCAGTTACGGCAACACTTGTCGCTACACACATGGAACTCAGCCACGAGGCAAAGGATTTAGTGGATCTTTTAGCAGGTTAGATGGCCTTGGAGAATTGCCTGTGACCCGTGTATGCAGGAAACTGAAAAATATAAATTTTATGCAAGTGGGCAACACTGTCAGAAAGTCCCAATATTCTCTCATAGCTGTTTCTTGTTGTATTTGATAAGCCAGTGGTCTTATGCTGAACCAATGCCTCAGATTACCATATGTTTGTGTGTGAACAGGTCAGCGGAGAGACCAACTGGCGATCTGCGAGAGAGGATGAAGAATAAGAGGCAGGATGTTGAATCAGATGCTACAAAGAGAGACCCAGAAGAGCCTACGTCCCCCACAGCCAGAGTGAGTTACTCTCCACACACAAACACACACAACATGCTTTCATGACCTGTTTTCTTTTGTTCTTTAGGACATAGTGAAAAAGCATTTGAATAGTTAGATATTAGACCAACAGGTATGGGAGTCTTACATGTAAACCTGCTTGTCTGTGTGTTGTGCAGCAGCGAGACTCGTCCCGAGGCCACAGGGAGAAGGAAGATATAAAGATCACTAAAGAGAGAACCCCTACCAGCGAAGAAGAGACCACTGAGTGGGAAGCCAACCGCGAAGGTGAGGTTTGAAAGCAGGGCCATGTTCAATAGGCACGAAAAGAAAGAAAATGTGCCCTTATTAACATAAGAAAGTAGAACTAATGAATCCCAAACCGTTTTTCACTCTATTGGGAAAGCTTGTTTGTATTGCGTATTCTAACCTTAAGGAATGTGTTGCATTAGACTCCGATAACGGCGACTACGACTACGAATTATCCCTAGAGATGAAGAGACAGAAGATCCAGCGGGAGCTCATGAAATTGGAGCAAGAGAATATGGAGAAAAGAGAGGAGATTGTTATCAAGAAGGAGGTACCGGTATGCATGTATCTACTGTAGCTATATCTACTATAGTTCATATAGCCTTGCATGATTTAAGACTGAGGTTGATCTGTTTTCTAACCTTCTACACTTACAATATCTCACTAGGAACCAACCACCAAAACTAGGACCACAATCATATCCAAGGTAAGAAGAGATACCTACCTAACCTCCTTGTCATTCAGGAGCCATCCATATCAACACTCATATCTAGTTTAGACGTATCTCCTTCCAGTGTCCATGCTAACCAATTCCGCCTTCTTTATTCCACATTCTAATTCCAGACATCCCCGGAGCGTTCCAGCTCTAAAGGTTCCCCCTCCTCCAGGAAGTCCAGTGGATCTCCCAAACACGCTAAAGGACCCAAATCTTCCGGTTCTAGGAAGAAGGAGAAGAAGACCTCTGTGTCGTCCTCTGTGTCCGACCCGGCCACGGCCAGATCTTCCAAGGGGAGCCACGGGAAGAAGAAAGGTCCCCGCACCCCCAGCCCCCCTCCTCCGGTGCCTCCTCTGGTGAACCCTGTGGTGGCAGCCGGGGGGAAGAAGCACAAGGGAAAGCACAAGAGCAAGGAGAAGTGTGAGGAGAAGCCGCCCAAGGAGGGAAAGGAGAGGGGGAGAGATGTGGAGAAACACAAGGAGAAGAAGGAGAAACGCAGGTAAAGAGGTTCACTGCCATGTTTTGTCCAGCTCCGCTCCAAGCTGTAGAGAAATCTAGCACCCTCGTTAAATAGGCAAAACAAGGCCCACTGGAAACAAGCAAACCAACAGTCAAATGAACAGTCATTCTTTTGTATCTGTTAGCACTGTTGTTGAATACACTATGAAAGGGACTCACTTTTTGTTTCTCATGGCTCTTGCAGAGACCGATCAGACAGCTCCCACAAGGCCAAGCGGTCAGTGATGTCTGAGGAACGTTCCGGCAGCGTGTCCTCTCCTTCCAGAGACCGAGAGGTGTCCCCATCAGCCAGGAAGATCAAGTCCACCTCCCCAAAAGCAGCCTCCCAGAAGACCCTTGCGCCTGGCTCCCCACCTCACAGGTCAGTAGTCTGTTGGACACTAGCAAGATAACAACATTGTCATGCTATAAGCAGCAAGATGACAGTATATACATCCACTTGCAGAAATTGAGAAATATGCAGCAGGACCTGAACCTGACACTATGGTCTAAAGATGCCATCTATCCTAACACTAGCATGTTCAGTAATGTTATTAGCAGGATTCTAATGAGTTGGTGTAGATGGTAGACAGACTAGCAAGATGGTCCACCATGAATAACCATAACTCCTTGTCCTCTCCTGGTCTTCCAGGTCTCCCCCTCCCCGCCACAAGCGCACCCCCACCCCGCCCCGCCACCACTCCCCCTCCTCCCACTCTGGCTCCTCAGCCCAGAGACACTCTCCTTCCCCCCGCCGGCGCCGCTCGGCATCCCCCGCCTACAACCGCGAGCCCCCAGCCGCCGCCTCACCTCCTGGCCAGAGGTGTGCCTCCCGCTCCCCTGCAGCCTCCCGGGACACCTCCTCTCCTCAGAGGAGGACTAGCCCTGGAGGACGAAACCACTCCCGGGGGCGTGAGAGAGGACGCAGCGAGAGGGGGAGGAGCCCACCTGCCCAGGAGCGCCGACACGAGCGCAGAGACGGTATAGCAACTCATTAACATAATATACTGGCTGTTTTCTGTATGTGGTCACCTTCTTTAAATCAGTACTGCTTTTCTATATGTGTGGATGTGTGTTTATATGAAAACAGTCTCTACATTCTATCATTTGACTGGACACTGTAACAACACAAACCTGTGTTGTTGTCTCCCTCGTCCACGCAGAGAGCCGCGGGAAGCGAGAGAAAGACTGTAGCCGTGACGACCGGGACTACGAGGCGGCAGAGACCAGCTCTTCTCGTGATGGCGCCCGTGAGGACCGGGAGACGAAAGAGGGGCGAGAGCGCCGGAGTGACGGGCGCAGCGACCGACGAGGAGACTCCACCGGTACCTCCAGGGACGCCACCAGGGATAGAGACCGAGACACCAGGGACACCAAGGACTCTACCCGGGAACCCAGAACCACAGAGACCACGTCAGCACGCTCCGGACGAGACTCTCTGGAATACAGGGACCGGGAGAGGGAGAGGGAGAGGGAGAGAGGAGAGAGGGAGAAGACAGACAGGGACAGGAAGGAGGAGGCTGTCCCGGAGGAGGGGAGGAGCTATGGGAGGGGCCACGGGCGAGAGGAAGGGGGGAGGACTGACGGGAGGACTGACGGGAGGGGGGAGACGAGGACAGAGAGTAGAGCTGAGAGACCTGGCAGGGGGAGGGGCCGCGAGGCTGATGGATCTGACAAAGGTGAGGTCACACATGACATCACACATCTTATAACCAGCAAAATATACTAATGGCCAGTTGTAGTAACAGTTCATAATGTGTTTGTTGTTGTGGTGTCTTTGGAAGTGAGGGAGTTTGATTAAGCTGAACCGCGGTGCACCAGTCTATAGCTGAGGGAGGAGCGCCCTTCTCAAATCAAACAGTAATCTGCGCCGCTCTGCCATGTTGTCAACTCTGACCTTCCTCCCTCGGGTTCCTCAGGCTCCACCCGGAACTCTCGAGGCTCCCAGTTGGAGAGTGGTGGCCAGGACAGTTGGGAGTCACGAAGCGGCGGAGGCTTCCGTGAGAAGAGTGCAGAGAGGAGCACCGACCGTGGCGCGGAGAGAGGAGGAGGCGCCGAAAGAGGAGGAGCGGAGCGGGACCGTTATGACGGAGATAGGAGAGGAGGGGAGCAGGCCACTGGGAGAGACTCATCCTACGACCGTAGAGGTGGTCACACCGACCGTGGTGACCGCAGAGAGAACCGGGAGAGAGGTGAGGAGAGGTCTTGGCTATATCTCAATTAGTATTTCCTCGTATCCTAAAAATAAATATTACATTGCATGTATAATGCGCTTTTCATTGAAAAACAATCTCAAAAGTTCTACAGTGAGTGCATTAAAAAACAAGTGAGACGTAGAGAAAAATAACCCCACTAGACAGGGCAACTGACGAAGTACACAGCTGACTCTACAAGGGGCAAGGACAACCAGGAACACAGCTATATGTAACAGAAAGCCTTCCTAAAGCATCCTGTCTCCTCCTCAATCGTACTGGAGAAGAAGATCCAAGGTCCCTCAGGCCATCTTTAATGCGTTTTGAAAGATTCCTTGAGAACGAGCCCTTGGTGCTGGATGTTGTGACTGACTGGCTGTTTTCTCTGTTTCTAACAGACCAAAGAGCGTCCTCTCCTGGTCGGCACCCAGCCAGAGGAGAAGAGCCAGAGAGGGAGGAGACCAGAGGGAGGGATGAACGCAGAGGAGAGGAAAAAGGAGGGGGGGACAGACGAGAGGACAGGGGCCGAGAGAGGGAGCGAGAGAGGGAACGGGAAAGAGAGAGGGAGAGGGAAAGAGAGAAGGAAAAGGAGAGAGAGAGGGAAAAGGAGAAGGAGGCAGAGCGGGAGAGGGTCCGGGAGAGGGAGCGAGAACGGGAGAGAGAACGGGAAAAGGAGAGAGAGAGGGAAAAGGAGAAAGAGAGGGAAAAGGAGAGAGAGAGGGAACGGGAGAGGGAGGAGAGGGAGCGGGAAAGGGAGGAGCGAGAGAGGGAGAGGAAGGAGAGAGAGCGGGAGAGGGAACGAGAGCGGGAGAGGGAGCGTGAGCAGAGAGAGAGGGAGAGACAGCGGGAATGGGAGGAGCGAGAGAAAGGAAGGGAGGAGCGACGTGAACGGACTAGGGATGAACCAAGGGACGACCGCTCTGTCCGAGACTCGCACGAAGACCGCAAGACCAGGCAAGTATCAGTAGTAACCACCAGGGTTGGGGTCAGTTCCATTTCAATTCCAGGTAACCACTAACCCATGACTCATAACTAGAATCACTCCATCATTTCCTTCTGTTTCTTTCCTACTTAACACAACCCAACTGACCTCGAACCCCTCTTCTCTGTGTGTGTCCTCTGTAGCCGGAAGAGGCACAGGGTAGAGACCACACCCAGCCCGACTCGCCCCTCCCCCAAGCGAGCAAGGGACGTCACCCCAGGAGACAGCGACGGATACAACAGCGCTGAGGAGAAAAGTGAGCGTTTGATTGGTGGAGGCCAGCCCAAGCTCCGCCCCACCTCTGGCCCTGGCCCAATCACCATCCTCCCCATCACAGTACCAGTGTGTCTTCCTCCTCCTCCAGTTCTTGACAGTAGGGACACTCTTTAATGGGAAAAACAAACAGCACTGGTTCTGTCTGGAGGAAACTAGTCCCGTATGGATTAACACCTCCCCAAAGGGTGCCTTGGCCTGATCACTTCAATATCCCTCCACGTGAGCCCAGGGCACACTCAGTAATGATGATAATACAGTTTAATTGTTGAGCACATTTCATACAGACAGACTGTAACTCAGTGCTGTACATGGAAGTAGCAGCCGGTGTTTGATTTGTTATTAGAGGGCGATCAGAGATCTTTGAGAACGAGCCAAGGCGCCCTTTAAGATAAAAAGGTGTTTTGTTGTTTCTTTGACATTTGTTGACGTTTCCACGGTGTTGATAAACCTTGGTATCACGCTTACAGAAACCCTTTGCTTCCTTGTGTGTGTTCAGGTGTTGAGAAACACCGGCTGTTGAGTCAGGTGGTACTCCCGCCCCAGGACTCCCTCCTGCGTTCCCCCCCCAGCGCCCCTGTAGCGGAGGACCCCAAGCCCAGCCGCTGGAAGGACGAGGAGCGCCGTGGAGGCGGGGACAAGAGGGAGGGGAGGAGCCGGCGGAAGGAGGAGGCTGACGCCCGCGGAGACAGAGGAGGAGCAGGCAGAGGAGAGGAGAGACGTGGGGAGCAGCCCTCAGATAGCAGTACCCCTGTCTCTGCCTCCGGCTCGGACTCTAGGAGAGGTAAAGAGAGGGACGCTCGGGACCCCACCCCTCCCCCGCCGCCCGTGGCCCTGGTCACTGAGGACAGAGACCGAGATGCTCCAGTCCCATCAGGTCATGAGGGCAAGAAGAAGACCAAGTCCCAGAAGAAAGGCCTGAAGAAGGGGAGGAAGGAGGAGGAGGTGGCAGGAGGTGTTTCAGGAGCTCCAGAGAGGTTCACCAACCCAGAGCCCCCCTCGGACGGCCCCCCGCCCCCTCTCCTCTCCCCCCGCAAGGCGCCTAAGAAGAAGGCACTGGACAAGAAGAGGAAACGCTCCCGTGGCGCAGAGTCGGATGCGTCGGAGGAGGAACCAGGCTCCTCCCATCTTCCCCCCGGCAAGAGGAACAAGAGGGGTCCCCGGACGCCCCCGCCCGCGCCCAAGGAGGCTCTGCTATCCCAGAGGGCCGTGCCACATCCTGGCACAGAGCCCTTGCCACAGCCCGTGAAAATGGACGCCAACTTCAGCGACTGGTCTGACGAGGATGTGCTGGAGCGCGGCAGTGAATCAGCGGCCGCGAAGGCACCCCCCACAATCCCCACTGAGAGGACTCCGACCGAAGCTCTTCCCAGGAGAGGAGGTCCGAGGGGGGGCAAGGAGAGGGAGAGGCCTGTTCCCCCGCCCATCGCCCCTCTGCTGTCCCAGGACCCTCCCATGCTACTCCAGACCCTGCCCCCCCAGCCCCTCATGTCCCAGCCCCTGCTGAGGAAGCCTCCTCCGGAGCAGAAGAGGAGCAGCAGTATGGGAAGCAACCAGAGCAGGGCCTCATCCAGACGTCTCCGCTCTCCCTCCAACGAGTCAGCCCACAGAGAGGACCATCAGCAGGGCCAAGGACCAGGCCGACCCAGGAGAGGACGCCAGCTCCAGGGGGGCAACTCCCGAGACCGGGAACGAGAAAGGGAGAGAGACAGGGAAAGAGAGCGGGAGCGTGGTGAGAGAGAGAGGGGACCAGTGGCCACAGAGCCACCGGCGGCGAGGGGAGAGGAGCGGAAGTCCCGCATCGACCAGCTGAGGAGAGGAGAGCCCAGTCGCAGCACCTCCTCAGGTACGGAGACACACGTACTATTAACAGTTTTTGTCGAGCAAACAGTGAGTTCCCTTACTAACACACCAGAGTTTGATTTGATTGATATTATATCTCTTATATTCCATTTGTGGTGGATTTCCTTCCCCAGACCGGCAGGAATCTCGCAGCCACAGCTCCAGACGTAGCTCCCCAGAGTCCGAGCGGCAGGTGCAGTCCCGGGCCGGGTCCTACGACGGCCGAGAGCGCGAGAGGGAGAGGGAGAGGGAGCGGGAACAGTTTGAGAGGGAGCGTGAGCGCAAGGACCTCCGACAGCAACAACAACAGGGGCCTCCGGGGCCACTACCTCCTCTCCAGCAGCAGGGGCAGCAGAGAGACTGGGAGCCTGAGGGGCCACGGGAGTGGGGTGGGAGGGGCCGTGAACCCCTCATGCGTGGAGGCAACAGAGAGCCAATGAGAGAGCGTGATCTCCGTGACATGCGGGGTGAGCGAGAGCGGCTTCTGCCCGAGGGGCTCCTGCAGCAGCACGAACGGGAGCGGGACAGGGAGCGCGGCGGCAACAGGGGCGGTGGCCGCGGTGGCGACCATGGCAACGACCGGGAGCGGGAGAGGATGCTGCTGATGGACCTGCCGCCACATGGGGACCCCAAGAACAGGATGGACATGAGGGGAGACAATATGAGACCAGACATGAGACCAGACATGAGGGGAGACATGAGGGGGAGACAGACCAGATTTAAGAGGAGACATGCGAGGGGATATGAGACCTGATATGAGGGGAGACATTCGAGGAGATATGAGAACCGATATGAGGGGAGACATTCGAGGGGATATGAGGGGAGACATTCGAGGAGATATGAGACCTGATATGAGGGGAGACATTCGAGGAGATATGAGACCTGATATGAGGGGAGACATTCGAGGGGATATGAGACCTGATATGAGGGGAGACATTCGAGGGGATATGAGACCTGATATGAGGGGAGACATTCGAGGGGATATGAGACCTGATATGAGGGGAGACATTCGAGGAGATATGAGAACCGATATGAGGGGAGACATTCGAGGAGATATGAGACCTGATATGAGGGGAGACATTCGAGGAGATATGAGAACCGATATGAGGGGAGACATTCGAGGGGATATGAGACCTGATATGAGGGGAGACATTCGAGGGGATATGAGAGGGGGACCAGATATAAGACCGGACATGAGGCCAGATCACATGAGACCAGATATGATCAGGGGGCCGGACAGGGCTGAGTTCTCTCTCCTGCTCCCCCACGAAGCCTTGGGACACGGCGGCATGGACCAGGACAAACCAGGCAACAGCCATCACCCTGTGGGAGGAGAGATACAGGAAGCAGAGAAACAGGACAGCATTGACGGTAAGGATCAACTACAATAACAAACTCCTCCTTTCTACTAGCATGGTCCCAGAACTGTTGGTCTTGTGTGACAGTGACCATGGGAGTTGGCAACAACAGACAAACAGATCTGGGACAAGGACATCAATTATTTTATTAGGTTTGTGTTGATATGGCAGCAGGTTATTGAGGGAGTTTATTTGCTTGTTTGTCCTCAGACGACGATGACGCGAAGGCGGACGACGCTGTGTCGGTGGTGTCTGGCGGGGAGGAGTACGAGCCAATCAGTGATGACGAGCTGGATGAGATCTTGGCGGACAGTGCCCAGAAGAGAGAGGATGGGCAGGATGATGAGAAGCCACCAGGTACAATACTGAGAACACTACAGTCCTTCTGGTTTAGAACAGGACCACAGTCCTTCTGGTTTAGAACAGGACTACAGTCCTTCTGGTTTAGAACAGGACCACAGTCCTTCTGGTTTAGAACAGGACTACAGTCCTTCTGGTTTAGAACAGGACCACAGTCCTTCTGGTTTAGAACAGGACCACAGTCCTTCTGGTTTAGAACAGGACCACAGTCCTTCTGGTTTAGAACAGGACTACAGTCCTTCTGGTTTAGAACTACAGTCCTTCTGGTTTAGAACTACAGTTCTTCTGGTTTAGAACAGGACCACACAGTCCTTCTGGTTTAGAACAGGACTACACAGTCCTTCTGGTTTAGAACAGGACTACACAGTCCTTCTGGTTTAGAACAGGACTACACAGTCCATCTGGTTTAGAACAGGACTACACAGTCCATCTGGTTTAGAACAGGACTACACAGTCCATCTGGTTTAGAACAGGACTACACAGTCCATCTGGTTTAGAACAGGACTACACAGTCCTTCTGGTTTAGAACAGGACTACACAGTCCTTCTGGTTTAGAACAGGACCACACAGTCCTTCTGGTTTAGAACAGGACTCACAGTCCTTCTGGTTTAGAACAGGACTACACAGTCCTTCTGGTTTAGAACAGGACTACACTGTCCTTCTGGTTTAGAACAGGACCACACGGTGCTTCTGGTTTAGAACAGGACCACACAGTGCTTCTGGTTTAGAACAGGACCACAGTGCTTCTGGTTTAGAACAGGACCACAGTCCTTCTGGTTTAGAACAGGACTACAGTTCTTCTGGTTTAGAACAGGACTACAGTCCTTCTGGTTTAGAACAGGACTACAGTCCTTCTGGTTTAGAACAGGACTACAGTCCTTCTGGGTTAGAACAGGACTACAGTCCTTCTGGTTTAGAACAGGACTACAGTCCTTCTGGTTTAGAACAGGACCACACAGTGCTTCTGGTTTAGAACAGGACTACACAGTCCTTCTGGTTTAGAACTACAGTCCTTCTGGTTTAGAACAGGACTACAGTTCTTCTGGTTTAGAACAGGACCACACAGTCTTTCTGGTTTGCCTGCAGGGTTGCCAAGTCATGCTAAAACTTCTGGCCCAATGGCTCCTCCAAACCAGCCCAATATCATACACCTGGCAACCCTGTCTAGTCTGCAGTTGGCGACTGGTAAAAGACAAACTGTTGTGGTTTTGTTATTGTGAACTAAATCGTTGTTTGATTATTGTGGTCTAAGTCCTTCATATGTGCTGTGTTTCTCCAGGTCCCCTGGACGTGATTGATGTGGACTGGTCCAGCCTGATGCCCAAGCAGAAGCAGGAGCCCCGGGCAGCAGGGGCAGCTCTGCTCCGGTTCACCCCAGGGGCGGTGCTCCTCAGGGCGGGCGTCTCCAAGCGGCTGGCTGGGCCCGAGCTCCTGGAGAGGGTCAGGGAGGTCTGCAAGAAGGAGCTGGATGATCCTAAAGGTGAGTGGAGGAGATATTAGTACTATTACATACCGTGTACTCATCGACTTTCTCCTACTGGATTTTATAACCATGCATGATATGACAACAAAATTTTAAGAGCTTGTCTACTTACAAAAAGTTTTAGAAAAAGCTGTCCTATCACTGTAAACATCCCGTGGTTAACCCCTCTTGTCCCGTCATCATGTAAACATCCCGTGGTCAACCCACTCCCGTCCTCCTCACTGTAAAACCCCCTAGTCTAACCCGCTCTCTGTCCATCTCCTGTAAACACCAGTGAGTCTAACCCCGCTCTCGTCCGTCATCACTGAAAAACCCCCGGGGTCTAACCCAGCCCTTTCCCTCCATCTCATTAAACATCCAGTGGGTCAACCCCCGTCTCCGTCCAGTCAACTGTAAACATCCAGGAGTCTAACCCGCTCCTTTTCCGTCATACTTAAAAATCCATGAGTCTAACCCCCCTTTTCCATATCACTGTAAAAATCCGGGTCTAACCCACTCTCTGTCCTATCATGTAAAAATCCCGGAGTCTAACCCCCTCCTGTCCAGTCCACTGTAAAAAACAGGAGTCAACCAGCTCTCCGTCCAGTCATCACTGTAAACACCTGGTCTAACCCCGTCTCTGTCCCGTACACTGTAAAAATCCGTGAGTCTAACCCCCCCCTTTTGTCCATCTCACTGTAAACATCCAGTGAGACTAACCCAGCTCTCGTCCCGTCTCAACTGTAAAAACCCCCCGTGGTCTAACCCAGCTCTTGTCCAGTCATCATGTAAAAATCCGTGAGTCTAACCCCGTCCTTTTCCCGATCACTGTAAAAATCCGGAGTCTAACCCCCTCTCTGCCCGTCTCACTGTAAACACCAGTGATTAAAAACCCGCCTCTGTCCATTCCTCCAGATGCTGACAAGCTGTTTGAGCATGACCTGGGTGCTCTGAACAAGGCAGCTCTGAACAGGAAGGTAGAGAGGGCAGGTCTGCTGAGGAACCTGGGCCCCTGCTGTAAGGCCCTCTGCGCCCGCAGGGACATGGCCATCAGACGGCAGCTCTCAAGAATGAAAAGGTGAGTGCTCCAAGAAAATGTACTTGTACCCAGAGCCATAGACTACTCTAGCCCATATTCCAATTGACTATGATAGCCCATGTAGAGAAGGAGGAGGAAAGGGGGGTAGGGGGGGGAGGAAAAAAGAGGGGCCAAAGGGGGGCAACAAGGGGGGGCCCGGGGGAAACAAGGAACCAACACGCCCCCCACCCCCCCCACCCCCCCCACCCCCCCCCACCCCCCCCCACCCCCCCCAAAACCCCCCCCACCCCCCCCCCACCCCCCCCCCATCCCCCCGGGGGGGCCCCCCCCCCCCCCCCCCCCCCAAAACCCTCCCCCCCCTCCCCCCCCGCCCCCAACCCCCCCTTTTCCCCCTTTTTCCATCTCTCTTTCCATCTCTCCTCTCTCTTTCCATTCTCTCGCTCTCTTTCCATTTCTCTCTCTCTCGCTCTCTTTCCATTTCTCTCTCTCTCTCTCTCTCTCTCTCTCCCCCCCCAGGGCCTGACCAAGCAGATGTACCCCAGTGTTCCTGTGGTGGACAGTGAGCTCTTCCAACTCAGCATGCGTCTCTTCAAGAAGACTGTAGCCGCCGCCAGCAGCAACCAGCCCCTGTTGGGGCCCCCAGCAGGCCCAGAGAAGGCCAACAAGGGGCCACCGGGGCTGGTACCGGCAGCTTCACCAGTAGCCAAGCCCGGTACACCACAGCCCTCCGAGGTGTGTCTCTCCTGAGAGCGAGCGGGGCTTATGGGTAAAAACAAACGCTGCATGATGAAACTGACCTGTGATCAGAAATTGAACAGCTCTGACAACTAAGCCTGCTCTGAGTCCTTGCCCCCTAACTCTAAACCCCGCCCCTCTAATGCTAAACCCCGCCCCCTGCTATAGCCTTTTTAATCACAAGGGAAAATCTAACAAAACGCTGAAACTTTCAGTCAGCAGTGCTGTCATTTTGGAAGACTGATCTGATCTGGAAGTCCTGTTCTGCTTCTACCATAGAGACTATTGGAGATACTAGCCTATGGAGGGATTGATAGAGGCTTTGTACAATGTACTGTACATTGAACTATAAATGGTGCAGGAAAGACATGCATTTCATTTCCCCCGAATGACACAATTGTCATTGTTTTTGTGCGATTGGATGTTTTAGTTGTCGGGTGATAAGTCTCCCTTTTTATAATGAAGTTGCTGTATTTAGTTTATTTTGTTGTGCATTGGTTACTAAGACTGTGCATTAAAATGGTTAGTTGTTCATTTGTAATGGCTCTTATCTTTGCTTTGTGTGGAGTTCAGTCTTAGTGCCATGTCCTGCTTGATGTCATTTGTGTAATGTTCAAAAGAGACATTGACTTCATCCCCAATGGCATCCTATTCCCTATGTAGTGCAAATTTTTTCACCTGGGCCCATAAGGCTCTGGTCTAAAGTAGGGCACTATGTAGGGTGTAATTTGGGATGCACCCTGGTCTAAAGTAGGGCACTATGTAGGGTGTGATTTGGGATGCACCCTGGTCTAAAGTAGGGCACTATGTAGGGTGTGATTTGGGATGCGCCCTGGCCGAATGTACTAAAATCTCTGAGTGACTTGTATGAATGTTTACTGTACTGCCTAGGCTACTCCCCCCCCCCCCCCTCCCCCCCTGACATGAATACATTTCCCTTTAGGTCACTCGATGTGGGAAACTTTGGCAATGGTCTACTTTACTAGGAACTCTGGGTTAAACTCAACCAGCACCCTCCGACTGCTGTGCCACAACACTCCAGTCCAGACACTTACCAACAGGACTCTGGCTGGCCTGAACATATTCCCATCAGGAGATGGATTTGACTCTTAAACTATGATGACTCTGTAGAATTGTCTTAATTTATTCTGTTTGCAGGTTGAAAGATTACATTAATTCTGGTGGTAGGTCTAATTGAATGAATTCTGGTGGTAGGTCTAATTGAATGAATTCTGGTGGTAGGTCTACTGCTAGAATGATAATATGATCAGGTCTACTGCACCGTTTAACTGACCTCATATACAGGGAAAATAAATGTGAAAGCATCATACATGTGTTGTGTTACAGAGAAGAGCGCAAAAGACAAGTTCTATATTTTACATGAAACCTTTATTACTCAGTACCCATCGCCTGGTCGCCTAGCTCTGTCAATACAATGTGACTGAACATACCAAACATTGGTTGATTTAAAAAGATCAACAGGAAGCTGTCACTCACTTCTCTTCATGGGCGCCATTGGACGGTGTCTTGTTTAGGATGAAGAATAAGACAATTCATGGAAGTCAATTGTGAAATAACAGTTCTGAGGATGAGAAAATGGAAGAAAATAATTCCTTCTCCCAAGTACAGTGTCACTGTAGTTTATTGTACTGCCCTTACAGGTGGCAAATTGAGACAGAAGAGGAAGCATCCCACTCCCTCTTTTTTTTAAATGGTTTATATACAGTCAATGAACTAAGTAGACCAGACACAGCTGCTATCGCATTGGTGTCTACGGGACTTAAGTAGAAAGTAAACAGCCTGAGTAAGACATCTTCGTTCATCCACCATCTTTGACATACGTATGGGTATAGAAGCGGGTTGGCTGTATGCCTCCAATCCAGATTGTCATGAGCCCAGATTATTATCTGTCTGGGCTGGATTTAACTGGATTAACCCTGAAGGACATCTATATTACATTTTAGTCATTTAGCAGACGCTCTTATCCAGAGCGACTTACAGTTAGTGAGTGCATACATTTTTCATATATATATCTGTCTGTATGAGTGTTTACTGTACTGGACGGGAACATGAGGTAAGGCCCGGGAACTGTACAGCCATGACAATACAGGCATATTATCTGCGGTACTAGCTTCAGCCAATCAGCAGGAGTTATGCCACTGTGAACCTTCCCCCTGCCACCTGACCACAGGCATATCAGACTGACTCCTCCCACCCAGCACTCACAGAATTTCTATAGGTGCCGATTGTTGAAACTAGATGTTGTTGCTCTACTCTGTATGAGTGGTTAGACTGGAGGGAGGAGAGCTGGGGCTCTGATATTGTTACCAGACCATCTCTATAGCCTGGCATTCAAACTGATTCTGCTACGTTTCAATGGTGTGCTAAGCATTCAGTCTGGTTTAACCAGGCTACTGTCTCCCAGACCCACTATATTGTTAGTCCATAATGCAGTTCCAGCAGCAGATCTGCTTTGTGTGGAAGTAGTACAGAGGAGAGTACCATTTAGCACAGTATGTAACAGTAATCTCTGCTTTAAATTAACTCATTATTATAATACAAAAAGCTTTGTTAAATAACATTAAAATGTGGCACTTAATTCATTGGTCGTATGGCGAATACAGCCATTAACCGTGACCATAGTGAGTAACTCTCCATCACCTCAATCCTCATGCCATTCATGACCACCATGGTGACGGCTACCAGGAAGTAGAGACATGTAGTACAGTCATCGCCCATGGTGAAAGTTGCTAGGTAGAGGCAGGAAAAGTTGCTAGGTCGAGGCAGGAAGTACCGTCAGCCAGGTAGAGGAGTGACGATCATCCTACAGCAGATCAGCATGTTATATCAGACCAACCTGTAGTCTCCATCCCTCCCTGGCCGGGCTTGAACCCGGACGGTGGGGATCACTAGTCTCTACTATGGCTCCTAGTTAGAGCAGCCAGGCTAGGCAGCTAGTTGGCTACACCCTCCCTACCTCTTCAGTAAACCACACACTGATTAAGATGCATGTTAGATTAGAGAAACATTATATTATAATATCATTGCAACACAACAGTCTTTCTTTAGTGTCGTTGTCATTCAGTTTAGCAGGAAGTCCGGGCTGGGGTAGCCGAAGAGGCTGAAGTCTCCTTGGTACCGGGCGTATAGACGCCTGACGTCCCGCTTGCTGATGCCTGAGAAGTAGCGCTCCACCTTGGTCCGGTTGTAACGGGTGATCCCCGGGGGGATTGTGGGGTACGATACCAGGCGGTCTATCCCGGCAGCTTTGAGGATGTAGGGGGCATCGCGTTCTAGAGTTTCGTGGTGCCCCACGACGCTGTACGTGATGTCACAGGGGGCGCAGAGTTCCGCGTACGTCACCCAGTGGATAACATGCTCCCCGAACTGACGGTCCATGCGTCGGCGCCCAGGCTCGTCACCCAGGTAACGGATGAAGTCCTCGAAGCGCAGGCCCGTGGTCGCCTTGTTGTTGTCGTTGTCACGGTGACTCTTGCGGTACTTGCGGATTATGGCGGGAGCGATGTCGTGCTTGTACCAGGGCTCGAAGCGCGGGTTCTTCACAAACTTGTCCTTGAAGGCGGAGATGAGGCGCTCGAACGGGTCTCTGACGATGAAGAACTTGAAGTATGTGGCTAACCTGGCGAGATAAAACAAAAAGCAGTGTCAGTCCCATAGAAATATAATCATAACACCACAATGGAATACAGGGCAGGGCCAAACAAGTCAGTAAATGTGTTCAACCTTCCTTCCTTGACCTAAGCACAGCTCTATAACATTTTAGTCATTTAGCAGACGCTCTTATCCAGAGCGACTTACAATTAGTGCATTCATCTTACGATAGCAAGTGATTGGGTAGGTATAAGCAAGGGTAGCCTACATTACCAGCTTATTACTTTAACCAATCTAACTAATTCAGATCTGTGATTACTTCAAGGAAGGAAGGTAGGATGCATTTCTGAAGTATTGGAGCAGGGCCTTAACCTTTCAGTGATTTCTTTCTCTGTCAGAGAGGAGAGGCGGGGCAGGCCGTTCTTCTCATGGTCATGAACCAGGTTCTCTGGGATCTCCTCCACAGTGGAGAACACTCCTGAGGGGCAAAAGGACAGTGAAGAACACAAGTTTATTGTCCTTTTTCACTGGCATCGAGGCCACTACAATTTACAGACAGATAAGCTTATGTTTTGAGTCAACTTCTACTCATCATCATCATCACTCACTGACTGACACTCCGTCACTCTCTTCCTTCCTTCCTCTCTCACTCCCCCCCAGTCACTCACTGACACTATCACTCTCTCCCTACTGCCCTCCCTCACTAACCATTGAGAACGATGAGGACCTTCTTCCATTGAGTGTTGCCCACTTTGGGGGTCTGGCAGAAGAGGATCTTGTGCTTGTCGCACACAAAGATGCGGTCCAAGACAAACTTGTTGATTGAGGTGTGAGTGAGGTTCCTGAGGGAGTTGTTGTTACACACGGCGGACAGCAGCTCCAGACGCCTCGTCTCCACAGTGTTCCAGTCTGTTGGGTCGGACATGGAGGAGGGGCCAACTGTGGACTGACACACACACACAATTCAAGGAACTGAGGATTCTGTTTCAAGGGCACACACACAACACCTACCACGTCTGATGACTTGGGAGCTCTTCTTTCTGATTTCTGAGCTGGAAGCAATTTGGTGGTCTTAACTCCTGGTTGTGTCCAAATTTGAATCTCGGTCTTCTCCCCATAGTCTGAAACACAAGACACCAAGAGATCACAAGACAATTCCAAGGAGGATAGAGTAGACAATTACATCTAACAGTTTAGCTGTCCTGTAGCTATAGCTACAACTCTAACTGAAAGGTATAGCTAGCTAGTATTGATGAGAAAAACTATCAGGTTTCAGTCTGATAATTTACCATCCGTGTCTCTGGCGTTGAAATTGATAAACTTGTTGGCAAACACCAGGATGAGCAACACCCAGCCGCAAGCCCCGACGAGCAGCCAGTGGTGCCGCATCGTTCTTTGCATCACCCGTGGGCCATTGAAGTAGCGACGGTCCCTGCAGAAACAGCTGTTTAGCAATAGCAGTTAGCCTTTCTCGCCTGACTCAGCACATATGAAAGGGGGAAACCTTATCATAATATTTGGACTGAATGCTAGTTAACGTTAGCTAGTTGTCATAATCTTTGGACTCAGCCGGGTGCTTCACCACAGGCAGAGGAGTGTCACAGGGACAGTGAGGAGAGACTAGTTAGCTTAGCAGGCTAGCTAGCTAGCTTAACATCCATAGGCTACCATTTCAGCAGGCTATAAAACTACATGACCATTTATGCCAATCACCAACTAGCTATAGGCATGGTCAAAACAACTGTCCCCATTGAAAGCCAGGGAGAGATCAATTTAGCTCAGCTAGCTGGCTAACTTCGGCTAACGTTAGTTAGCTTGTTGCTGTAGTTGTTTGTTAGCTAACAGTAGCCATAATTCTGACCATCCCGAAGTGTAGCAAGCTAGGCCTGCTCCTGAGTACGTTTTACTTGATTATAAAATGATCTGATAGCTAGTTTCCCATTGTACAACCCAAATGTGATGTCTTACCTGCTATGTAATTGCAACTAATGCAATAGTAACGTTTCTTGTGATGTTGGCGGACCTGTCCCGTTATCCATGTTGTTGATGCAATAACAGATCAATATCGCCCCCTATCGTTCAAATGTTTACACGGCACAACATAGGACTGGACAAGACTACCCGAGAACTAGCTATGCAATTGGCCAGTGATATCATATGCTGCTTGCTGTATTAAAAATAAAAAAAACTACACAAAAAGTTGTGCATATGCTCACTGCAAATACAAAGTGAGCTGAGCCTATGGACTACCATCATACATGGCTTCATATGGCACACAATGCAGCATTGACTACTTGCCCCAGTCATATCACGCTACTGGTCAGGGACAGGGGGTATGTATCACTGTTGCACAACATACACAGCCATACACACATACAGTGGGGGAAAAAAGTATTTAGTCAGCCACCAATTGTGCAGGTTCTCCCACTTAAAAAGATGAGAGAGGCCTGTAATTTTCATCATAGGTACACGTCAACTATGACAGACAAATTTAGATTTTTTCCCCCCTGAAAATCACATTGTAGCATTTTTAATGAATGTATTTGCAAATTATGGTGGAAAATAAGTATTTGGTCACCTACAAACAAGCAAGATTTCTGGCTCTCACAGACCTGTAACTTCTTCTTTAAGAGACTCCTCTGTCCTCCACTCGTTACCTGTATTAATGGCACCTGTTTGAACTTGTTATCAGTATAAAAGACACCTGTCCACAACCTCAAACAGTCACACTCCAAACTCCACTATGGCCAAGACCAAAGAGCTGTCAAAGGACACCAGAAACAAAATTGTAGACCTGCACCAGGCTGGGAAGACTGAATCTGCAATAGGTAAGCAGCTTGGTTTGAAGAAATCAACTGTGGGAGCAATTATTAGGAAATGGAAGACATACAAGACCACTGATAATCTCCCTCGATCTGGGGCTCCACGCAAGATCTCACCCCGTGGGGTCAAAATGATCACAAGAACGGTGAGCAAAAATCCCAGAACCACACGGGGGGACCTAGTGAATGACCTGCAGAGAGCTGGGACCAAAGTAACAAAGCCTACCATCAGTAACACACTACGCCGCCAGGGACTCAAATCCTGCAGTGCCAGACGTGTCCCCCTGCTTAAGCCAGTACATGTCCAGGCCCGTCTGAAGTTTGCTAGAGTGCATTTGGATGATCCAGAAGAGGATTGGGAGAATGTCATATGGTCAGATTAAACCAAAATAGAACTTTTTGGTAACTCAACGCGTCGTGTTTGGAGGACAAAGAATGCTGAGTTGCATCCAAAGAACACCATACCTACTGTGAAGCATGGGGGTGGAAACATCATACTTTGGGGCTGTTTTTCTGCAAAGGGACCAGGACGACTGATCCGTGTAAAGGAAAGAATGAATGGGGCCATGTATCGTGAGATTTTGAGTGAAAACCTCCTTCCATCAGCAAGGGCATTGAAGATGAAACGTGGCTGGGTCTTTCAGCATGACAATGATCCCAAACACACCGCCTGGGCAACGAAGGAGTGGCTTCGTAAGAAGCATTTCAAGGTCCTGGAGTGGCCTAGCCAGTCTCCAGATCTCAACCCCATAGAAAATCTTTGGAGGGAGTTGAAAGTCTGTGTTGCCCAGCGACAGCCCCAAAACATCACTGCTCTAGAGGAGATCTGCATGGAGGAATGGGCCAAAATACCAGCAACAGTGTGTGAAAACCTTGTGAAGACTTACAGAAAACGTTTGACCTGTGTCATTGCCAACAAAGGGTATATAACAAAGTATTGAGAAACTTTTGTTATTGACCAAATACTTATTTTCCACCATAATTTGCAAATAAATTCATAAAAAATCCTACAATGTGATTTTCTAGATTTTTTTTCCTCATTTTGTCTGTCATAGTTGACGTGTACCTATGATGAAAATTACAGGCCTCTCTCATCTTTTTAAGTGGGAGAACTTGCACAATTGGTGGCTGACTAAATACTTTTCCCCCCACTGTATCAGGATAAGGCTTACCCAGTGAAATAAATATTAATTTTTGAATTAAATACATACAATTCCTCAGATACATGGCCAGCATCATTGGTATTATTGGCATTGTTTGCATAAATGACATTGCTGCTGTTGCTCTTGGTCTTCTTGGGGAGCAGCTGGGCTTGGATGTTTAGAAGAACACCACCCTCAGCTAATCATTCCTCATCATTCCTTACAGCCAGTTGGATGTGCCAGGGAGGTCAAATCAAATCAGATTTTGTTGGTTACATACACATATTTAGCAGATGTTATTGCGTGTGTAGTGAAATGCTTGTTTTCCTAGCTCCAACAGTTTAGTGGTATCTAACAATTCACAACAATACACACAAATCTAAAAGTAAAAGAATGGAATTAAGAAAAATATAATTAGGACGAGCAATGTCAGAGTGGCATTGACTAGAATACAGTATATACATATAAAATGAGTAAAACAGTATGTAAACATTATTAAAGTGACCAGTGATTCCATGTCTATGTACATAGAGCAGCAGCCATTATTAGGTGCAGGGCTGAGTAACCAGGTGGTAGCCAGCTAGTGACAGTGACTAAGTTCAGGGTAGTGTACTGGGTGGAGGCCGGCTAGTGATGGCTGTTTAACAGTCTGATGGCCTTGAGATAGAAGCTGTTTTTCAGTCTCTCGGTCCCAGCTTTGAAGCACCTGTACTGACCACGCCTTCTGGATGATAGCGGGGTGAACAGGCTGTGGCTCAGGTGGTTGATGTCCTTGATGATCTTTTTGGCCTTCCTGTGACATTGGGTGCTGTAGGTGTCCTGGAGGGCAGACCGCACCACCCTCTGGTGGCAGCCAGCTGGATAAATTGTTTGAGTTTTGCATTTCGAGTGCATATTTTAGACACTCCTCATCTCGTCTCTGCCACAACAGTTATATGCACTATTCTGATGCAACATGGGGACATTTTATAAAATTGGCTTCATGGTCATATAGGCAATAGGCACTGGGATCAGGATTCAAGAGAATTGACATCTTTGGAAACTATGGGTAAACCATCAAGAGACTATATTGGCTAACACAGATCACTGGTCAATGGACAGGGTTTCAATCACATCTAATAATATTTTTTATAAATAGTGTTTATCATCACAATAAGATTCTCAAAGCTAAAAAAAAATGGTTCTGGCAGTTCTTGGACAGTGGTCTTCCACAGCAGATAAGGCGTTTGAGGCAGTTGAAAAAGGCAGTAGCTTGAGTCGATGGAAAAGGAAAAAGAGTGAGGCGTTTTTGTGTTTATCATGTCATGAATAGTTACATTTAGGCACCCAACCTCATTCAGACATGCAAGTCACACACACTTCAAGTAGGCTTGTATTCATAACAGTTCATCTACTTTGTAGTGCAGGGATCATCAACTAGATTCAGCCACGGGACGATTTTTTCTGGAGCGGATGGTCGGGGGGCCGGAATATAATTACAAATAATTTGTAGAGTGCAAATTGACTGCTAGAAGCCCAAACATATATGTTTGACTAAAACATAATCATTTCAAACCTTGCTTACATTTCTATACGATCACGTCTCTCTATTACGCGTAGGAATACTTGGGAACAGATGTCAAATTAAAATCACTTGGAGCATATTTCCTGCTGTTTCTACAGTCTTTTATGTCCAACAAGGAAAATTCCACACAACAAAACATTTGTATTTATTTATTTTCGCTCAGAAAACTTTGGGGGACAAATAAAACCACCCGCAGGCCAAATTCAGCACGGGGGCCACCAGTTGGGGAACCCTGTTGTATAATAAAGACATCAGACAAAACTCCTTTTATACATTTATTCTACAAGCGTTGAAGACAGATTTAATTCTCATCAACATTGACCGTCTGTAGACCTGTTGACAAAGGAAAGAAAAAGGATTTAGCAACAGCTTGAGAATTATAAACCCCCCGTCTTCATCATCCTAGGACAGAAAAGATGATCAAACAAAAACAATCTTTCATATTGGTGTACTTGGCATCAGAAAAATCAAGAACAGAACAGGGATATACAGTAATTGAGACTAACGTTGACGTTTCAACACAAGTCTGAAAAAACCTATGAAGGCACATTTGGTATTGACTATGCCTCACCTTTGTATGTTGTGACAGGGACGTACGTGACGAGTGTGTACAGTTTGTTTGGGGAGTCTTCGTCCTCATTGCGCTTCCTGGACAATCGTACCCTCATCCTGTATGGCACGTTCCTGTAAATAACATAGGTGAACGTTAGTCTCATCCTGTATGGCACGTTCCTGTAAATAACATAGGTGAACGTTAGTCTCATCCTGTATGGCACGTTCCTGTAAATAACATAGCTGAACGTTAATCTCATCCTGTATGGCACATTCCTGTAAATAACACAGGTGAACGTTAGTCTCATCCTGTATGGCACGTTCCTGTAAATAACATAGCTGAACGTTAGTCTCATCCTGTATGGCACGTTCCTGTAAATAACATAGGTGAACGTTAGTCTCATCCTGTATGGCACGTTCCTGTAAATAACATAGGTGAACGTTAGTCTCATCCTGTATGGCACGTTCCTGTAAATAACAGGTGAACGTTAGTCTCATCCTGTATGGCACGTTTCTGTAAATAACATAGGTGAACGTTAGTACATACTTGTGCAACATAATTTGTAGTGCTATTTGTGTCAACAACAACCATAAGTGGTTGTATGGGTTGATAACGAGCAGTTACCCAAACCTTTCTTCTAGTACCTCCAGCTATTCCACGTATTTGATATTTGAACACGTATTTGTTCTTGAGGAAGCACACCTGGGCCAGACGGTCACTAGCTGTTCAGTTGCCAAGCGTTCTCTAACGTTGCAGATAGAAATGCCATGAACAGAGCTGATGTGATTCCTTATTCTACATGTCAGAGGCATGTTTGATCAACATAGCCTATTTCTATCTGAACGTTCCTAAACATTCAATCCTGCTGAAAGCGCCCGATTCAACTAATGAAGGGCTTAGTGATTGTTTTACCAACTTAATGGGGTTTGGGAAACACAAGTACTGTAAAACCATATCATCAGTATATCCAAATGTTGTATCCTGATTCATATTATAACTGGGGTGTATTCACTAGAAACCAAATGGAAGCAAACAGCAGAAACAGGGAGAAACTTATCTGAACTTGTCCAATAGAAACCCCAGGTTTTCTGTTGCAAAACGTTCTGCTATGGTGTGCACTAATGAATGCACCCGATTAATCTGATGACAGGTGTCTCATTTGTCCTTACCTGACGCCTTTGGTCCACACAGCCTTGTTCAGGCGGGTGTCGATGCGTACATCAGGAGTTCCCATCTCCTTCATGGCGAACTTGCGGATCTCCTTGAGAGCGCGAGGAGCTCTCCTCTTGAAGCTCCTGTATAGAGAAGAAACGTTCTGATTAATACCAGTCTCAGGGGACTAAGAAAAACTAGCCTACATCTTGAGGGACATCTGCCAATTTAGAGGAACAGTAGATTTGTCAACAGCCATGCTCTGTGATGTAAATACTCCCACATGCCAAAGCTACACAAAACCAGTTTATATCCTCTGGTTCTGATGAAAAACTACTTAAGGTGCAGATGACAGAAGAGTGCATACTTTTGAGGACACTGATCCAACATTGACCTGGCTTCTGTTGGTGAATTTGTCTGTTTGCACCACAGTACTTACACTCCATGGATGCGCTTGTGGATGTTGACGGTGTATTCTCTGGTCACCACCTCATTGATGGCTGAACGCCCCTTCTTCTTCTCTCCCTTCTTGGTAGGAGCCATCTGAAAAGACAAACCGGGCCGGTTGAAGTTGAGATTGTCCCATACAAAGTGAACCGTCAGACCTGCTAGGCTAACGTTAGCTAGCTAGCCAGGTACGCTAACGTCCAAAACAGGAAAACATCCTGTTCCACCCAAACAAAAATGTATCATGGAAATGGCTAAATGTAACCATTAACGGCACTGCCTGTGGTGCATTACACAGGTTACAAAACATTCGTTAGCTGGCAAAAATATGTTATGTCTGGTAGCTAGCCAGCTAGCATGTTACGAAACCTGTGATGTGTACGGTACCTAAAGTTTTGACTGTTTTTGTTAACTAAATGAATGCACAATACATCCCAAACTCAAATCCGATTGACAATGAGGTACACAACTATGGATTTGGAAAATGCAAATATGTGTTTTATGCGTAAATACTGCAGGATGAAGTTAGATTATACTAGGACTATCAATCTGCGAAACTCACTTCGGTGGGGAACTGTTAGAAAGGAAGTACCAGAAAAGGCAGATCTTTTTTAAAGGAAATAGATCCGGCTGTATGTTGTCCGTAGAAAACAAGTACCGTTTACAAAGTTCCTATGTCTTGTTGCCCTGGTAACCATCAACGATACACTGTATCTGTATGTGGTTAGCTTTATACATTGAAAGGTTACTTACTGCAGAAAATGAAGCCTATGTCATTGATAACGTAGGACCGAAACCTGAACTGGGATAAGCCGTCGAATTGTGCTATTAGTCTCCCAACTTTTAACTATAACAATATGGCAACGAATTCTATTCGAATTAATCCCCCGGTTGTTGAGTTTACCGACGTAAAAGCAGGGAAGGTTTACAAGACCACTGTCACGGTGACCAACACTGGAAGTACCTCGAAAATAATGAGACTGCTTGAACCCACATCAAAGGTGAAATCCTTTCTGCAGTGCTGCCTGTTGGCTGTCTTTGTGTGTAATACGTTAGTAAAGTTCAGAGCAACTTATGCTTAGTTGTGCTTAGTTTTCATTGCGCTTTTGTCCTATTCTAATTTATAAACTCATTTTGATTGATGCAATAAATTATTATACACTTTTGTTACTTCCACCCTTCATACTGCCCTGCCCCTCTCTTCTTAAATGTTTTCAACCCTTTGTCCTTTCTACCCCCCAAGCTGTTCACATTTAGAGTGACAAACACAGAAACCCCCATTGCTGCCGGATTGGCCCTAAGTGGTACTCTAGAATTCAGGCCTGAGAAAGATGAGGATGTCTGTGACCGTCTGCTCCTTGTCCTGGATGACATTGCCATGGAGATCCCCCTCTTTGTGTAAGCAGAGTCATATATACCCCTGTTATAACATAACTCATTCATGTAATAGCTTGGCCGTGTTCCACCAGACATGTGCTTGGCATTAGCGGGTTAATGCAATCTTCAGGTCTCAGACAAGGTTACTTATATTTGGCCTTTCCTGCAGGTTCTCCCCAGCGTGTTCTCTAACAATGGAATCTCTCGCTGATTTCGGCTCTGTGACGGCAAACAGTCAAGTGATCAGCAAAGAGGTGGAATTGACCAATCAGGGATCTGCTCCAGGTATTATGCTTTTGCCTCTTACGTTGAACCCACTTCTGTAAACTTGCTTTGATTGATTTTAGTAGACATTTTGCAGTAATCTAGTTTATTTTTTATTGTATTTTTTTATAGTTATATTAATTGATTGCTGTTCATTCCCTTGGCCTTGCTGAAGGAGCTTTTCAGGTGCTGTATGATGGAGACCAGTCCATCAGTCTCTCTCCCAGAAGTGGCGTCCTGCAGCCTGGCGCCACCCAGTGGCTGAAGGTGGAACTCTGCACTGACAAACCCACGAGGGTCAGAGAGGAGGCCCAGTAAGGAAACTAGAGCCTCTGCCTTATCTTGAACATCATCTTAAACGCTCCACCTTATTCTGCTTAGTGTTACTTATGGTTCTTTGTTTGTGCATTTTGTGTGTGTTTATTGAGTTGCCCTCTCTCTCTCTCTCTCTCTCTCTCTCTCTCTCTCTCTCTCTCTCTCTCTCTCTCTCTCTCTCTCTCTCTCTCTCTCTCTCTCTCTCCCTCCCCCCCTCTCTCTCTCTCTCCCCTCTCTCTCTCTTCCTCCCACTCCCCCCATCCCCCCCTCTCTCTCAGGGTGAAGCTGCAGAACAGTAAGGATGTGGTCCTGAAGATCAGGGCGGATGTTTTGGAGCAGAGCCTGGAGCTCCAGGACCTAGAGGGGGAGAGGCTGTCTTGCCTCCGCTTCGGACCCGTCTTCTTTGGTACATCCCGGGTGGAAAAAGTGGTTCTGGTGAACAATGGACCACAGGCCTGCGACTGGATGGTGGTGCTGCAGGACGATGCTTCAGGGACAGAAGTGGTACATACACACGCACACACATGCACCAACGCACAGAGAAAACACAGACACATGCACCAACGCACAGAGAAAACACAGACACATGTTGACATATTTCACACTTTCACACGGAAGTGCAATTATACTAAACTGTGTTTTTAGATCTCTATCGTTAGGCGTGATACGTTTTTGTATTGCTGTGTATGTGTGTCTGTGTGTGTGTGTGTTTCCTCAGGGCTTTGACCTCCAGAGGAGTACAGACGCAGCGCTGCTAGAGAGAAGTGTTCGTAACAGGGCCACCCCTGTGGATCCCTCCACTGTGATCGCCTGTGTGCCCAACGAGGGAGGACTGAGACCCTACGAGAAAACCACTCTGTGGGTCTGCTTCTGTCCTGTCAGCAGAAGGTATACAGCCCTCCTTTGTGTGTGTGTGTGTCTGTGTGTGGGTATAAATGTGTATAAAGATATTCTAACACACAGTATATAATGGTTGTTCTGTTCTTCAGAAGGAGCAGGGAGGAGCAGAAGAGCAGTGGAGTCTCCGCAGCAGCCAGTAAACAAGACTACTCACTCTTCCTCAAGTTTGAGATGGTGGGAAGTAAAGATGGCTTCAACCACCAGCAGCACTCCACTGTACTTCCCCACAATGGTACAGCAAGCCTCAATCTGTTCCTTACCAATAGCAGGCACAATATGCTGCAATACAATCATGTATATTATATCATTAGTAAAAACAACAATTGAAGCCATTCTCTGGTGAGGGGCACTGAACGACGTGTACAACAGCTATAACAGAAATGTTGTGGTTGATCTCGGACTGTCTAGTCCTTGACCCCTGACCTCTCTGACCTCTAAGCCCTGACCTCTACCCCCAGGTTGCTGTGTGGAGCTGGCGGTGACTGGCTCAGCCCTCCCTGTCTCCCTTGTGCCCAGCCCCGGCCACAGCTTCAGCTTCCAGCAGTGCATGATGGGAGAGCGTGTGGACGTCCTGTGTGTGCTCCACAACCTCTCCCCTATACTCCCCGTCACCTTCAAGTTCCGAAAGATGGCCAACTTCATCAGTGACCCGCCTAGTGGGACCATCTCCCCAGGGCAAAGCCAGGTAGACGACCCTGGTCCAGGCTCAGATGGCTACTTATTTTGGCCAGAGGAAACTAGTGCACTGTATAGGGTGGCTGGGCCCTAAAGTAGTGCACTATATATGGAATATATCCTCCCTGAGTCTGACAGAAAGCTGATCAGAATCATTGATCTGTGTTTTTGTCCAGGACGTGGTGCTGTCCTTCGCCCCCCACCAGATGGGGACTTTCAAGGTGAAACAGGTGCTAGAGGTGCTGGGTCAGGTGGTACACCTGGAGCCCTCCTCCACCAAGCTCCGCCTCCGCAGCTTCCACACCCTCACCCTGCACCTGTCAGCCGTTTGCCGGGCACAGACCGCCTGCAAGACACCCAAACTCAACCCTGGTGAGACCCAAAGCCACCCCCTGCCCACAGCCAGCACACTGAACCACTCACTGCCCTGTCCACTGATCTCTTACCCATACAGTATATGTTCTTCAAAGTATTGTATGGCATTCTATCTTCAACCTATTATTAGACCCACCCATTCATTGTTTTGTCTGTGATGCATCAGGAATCACCCCGGCTGTGACCAATGAGACAGGCCAGTATGCCCGGGTGCCCTCCAGTGAGCTGGGCAGGTGTGTGGGATTGGTGCGGGCAGCTGTCCTTAGCGCGGCCAAGACCCGGCTCCACAGCCACGGCCAGAGCAAGAGCCACCGTAGGAGCCAGAGGCTAGATGGTAGCCAGCGGGAGCTAGTGGCCTTCCCCAACGACAGGGCCTGCAGCATCCGCCCTGCCTCTCCAGACACCACCTACAGGTCATTTGAGTAATACCGTTATAGAGTATCTGACATGGCACCCTGTGACCTATTCCAGAGCCATATCAGTACTACTAATAGTAATGATGGCAATAGTATCAGTGCAGTCAGGTTTACTGGGACCTACTGTACCTCCAGATGCCTGGGCAGTCAGCGCAGTGTGTTTACAGTGGCATCCGTGTCCCTATAAAGTCCTATGTACCCCCTATGTACCCCCTATGAACTCTTATGAACTGCTTATATCCTCTCTGTCTCTCTCCACCCAGGACCATCTTCACGGGGGTGGAGCGCTACCGTTACGTGGACCCTGACTTTGCCTTCACGGAGGAGGAGCAGCAGCAGAGACAGAGACACAGAGATCACTACCTAGCCTTCTTCAGGAGCCTGCGAAACACGCGCTTGCAGAAAACCACCGCGAGGTAGACAGAGGGTGATGTGTGTTCTGTATGTTGTCACCTAGGCAACCCAAACAGCTACGCAGTAAGCAAAACTATGCTGAAAATACCTATTTTAGACCTATTTTCCAGACGTGGACATTACACGCATTTCAGGTGCTGAATGAAAGGTTAGAAGACATCTTTTCCGACGTTGAAAATGCGTATTTTTCCGGAAGTAGAAAATACGTAATTTACAGACTTTGAAAATATATCTTTTTCAGTCATTGATTCTATGGACACATTTCTGCACATACTGTACACTATCAGTGAAGTAAGCATTACTGTATATCACTATAACATAGGAATGAGGGGCCAACTGAATATGTATTATTGCTACCATCTGTCACATTCACTCATGTTAACTTTTTCAAAAGCTTTAAAACTGGCAGCGATGATGTTCAAAATAATCCAAGCTACAGAATGAACCAACAGACCACTTCAACTACAATAACATTCTCAGTAACGGTTACAGATTTCTTTCTTTTCTTGCTATGACTGTGATATGTTTTTGTTAACCTGCTGAATGACCAAAATTTTAAATGTAAAAAACAAACACTTGCAAAGCTTTCTGGGATATTATTCTAATGAGCTCTGCCCCCAAACAAGTACATATTTGGTCAGTGCGGACCAGATCCAAATCTGAATAAATCATAGACGTCTAGGCTGTTTCACACGTTTGAACATCACATTACAATACGGCAGTTTAGTACAGTAGAAGACAGTATGGTATGGTACGGTACGGTACAGTTTAGTTCAGTAGAATAGTGCTCTACTGTATTGTACTGTACTGGACTCTGCTGTCAAAACTTTTGATACATAGATGTCTATTATTTGTTCAGATTTGGTCCAGTCCAGACCGGACCAAATCTGAACCAGGTATAGACGTCTATGTTTGGGCCAAATATAGGCCGGACCGCACCAAATCTGAACCAAACATAGACGTCTATGAATGGTTCAGATTTGGTCCGGTCCTGTACTCTGCTTGAAATCAAGGCCGGTCCGGACTGCACCAAAAGGCGTGAAAGGCAAACACCCTACTGGACCAATCATAGACATCTATATTTGGGCCAAATTAAGGCCAGTCCAGACCGGACCGGACGAAATCTGAACCAATCATAGATGTATTTTATTTAGTCAAATCAAGGCTGGTCTGGACCGGACCAAATCTGAACCAAATATAGATTTCTATGTTTGGTTCAGACTTGGACAGGACCAAAAATGTACGTCAGTGGACGTTGAAATCAAGGCCGGTCCGGACCGCACCCCAAACAAATACCTAAAAAAGACAGCCGGACCAAAAAAAGACGTCCAAAAGACGTTGCTTGACGGTAAATGCTTAGTGGGTACAACATTTTTTGCAATAACTAAACTGCAAAGCTCGGTCCTAGCCACTCCCCTTCCAAAAAGTCTACCTATGAGGGGATTTGATTAATCTGCACTCTACTCTTATCTTTTGATAAAAAGGCTTTATCTGCCTTCCCAATGAAAACTAGTTTGAAAATTCAAACATATACTGTATTTTATGAAAAAGAGATATGACCGAGCGGTGCAGATTACTGTTCGATTTGAGCAGGGCTCGCCTCCCTCACCAGCTCGCCCAGTCACGTGACGGTCATACCCCAGTGCAACCTGGCCAGTTTAATCGAATCCCCTCATCATTGTTTACAATATGTGCTGTACGCTGACAACAAGGTGGTATCTGACAATGTTTTCGATGTATGCTCAGGCTGCATGGCGAGGTGGAGGACGTCATAGACATTGGGCTCCGGCCTGCCGCAGGACTCCTCACCCCCAAGCTCTCTCTGAGGGACCTGGAGTCCAATCACAGCCAGGAGGGGCGGAGCGTCGACCAGGGACATAGCCAGCTATTGACCACCTGTATGCTGGCTGCCATGGAGACCAGGTCCAGCTCCAGACAGGTAAAGCAGGGCGTGTAAAGTTGAACTGCGATCTCTGGGAAACCATTTTACATGGCTCCTCTAAAGTCTACAGTTACCTGTTTTAGCCTATGCAATCCCCCCACTTTATCATTTTATATCTGGTGTTTCCTGACTGACTGTATGGTATTCCACTGTCTCTATCATTTTATATCTGGTGTTTCCTGACTGACTGTACGGTATTCCTCTGTCTCTATCATTTTATATCTGGTGTTTCCTGACTGACTGTATGGTATTCCTCTGTCTCTATCATTTTATATCTGGTGTTTCCTGACCTGACTTGTAACGGTAATTGCCACTGTCTCTATCATTTTAATCTGGTGTTTCCTGACTGACTGGTATGGTATGTCCTCTGTCTCTAAATAATTTTATATCTGATTGGTTTTGCCTGACTGACTGTATGGTATTCCTCTGTCCGCTATCATTTTATATCTGGTGTTTCCTGAACTGACTGTACAGGTATTCCTCTGTCCCTATCATTTTATATCTGGGTGTTTCCTTGACTGACTGTAACGGTTAATTCCTCTGTCTCTATCATTTTATATCTGGTGTTTCCTGGACTGACTGTATGGTATTCCCTCTGTCTCTATCATGTTAATATCTGGTTGTTTCCTGATGACTGGTACGGTATTCCACTGTCTCTATCATTTTATATCTGGTGTTTCCTGACTGACTGTACGGTATTCCTCTGTCTCTATCATTTTATATCTGGTGTTTCCTGACTGACTGTACGGTATTCCTCTGTCTCTATCATTTTATATCTGGTGTTTCCTGACTGACTGTACAGTATTCCTCTGACACTTTGAACCTCTGTTGTCCAGGTGACAGAGGGCATCAATGCACTACCCTCCACCAACCAGGAGGTGGCAGACTGCAGCCGCACCCTGACAGCTCAGCAGCTTCACCAAGTGGTCATAGGTGAGAAACGCACATGCAGTCTTTTTTGTAGCCCTCTGTCCCTACTATGGCTGATGAAGAGAATATTCACAAAATTAACATTTCTTGAATTAAAGATGTGAATCAGAGTTTGGGTACAAGTTATCATTTCCCCTCTCTCCCTGCTCCCACCCTCCCCCTCCCCTCCAGGCCCATCCTCAATAGATTTTGGTGAGGTGTGTGTGGCCTCAGTGTGTGTGAGGACCCTGGACCTGGTGAACAACCTGCAGGTGTATGTGTGGGTGCAGCTGGAGTTAGACTGCTGTCCTGAGCTGCAGCGCTCCAGCCCTCTGTCCCACGTCCTGCCCCCCCTCTCCAGAGCCACCCTGCCCCTCGTCTTAGAGAGCACCAAGCTGGGAAAGTTCCACAAGTTAGTCACTGTGTGTGTGGCTAGCTGGCTGGTTGTCTGTCTCTGTTTCTGTCTGTCTGTCTATCTGTCTGTCTGTCTCTGTCTTTCTTTCGTTTTCTCTCTCTCTGCCTCTCTCTCTCTCTCTCTGTCTCTGTCTCTGTCTCTCTGCCTCTCTCTCTCTCTGTCTCTGTCTCTCTGTCTCTCTCTGCCTCTCTCTCTCTCTCTCTCTCTCTCTCTCTCTCTCTCTCTCTCTCTCTCTCTCTCTCTCCCTCTCTCTCTCTCTCTCTCTCTCTCTCTCTCTCTCTCTCTCTCTCTCTCTCTTTATATATAGAGGTTTCCTAAATTGATAATTGACAAACCAAATCGAGCCCAATCCTTATTGATTGCTTGATTGATGATTGATCGATTGACTGACTGACTTATTGACTGACTGATTGACAGTTGACTGTTAGATTCCATCTCCCTCTCCCAGGTCCATCTCCTACACAGTGAATAATTGTCACCGGGGCCATGTCCTGGTCCAGTCCCAGGTGGTCCCTGTGGTCCTCCAGCTGTCCCAGAGCCAGGTGGTCCTGTCACCGTCCCCCAGCTACTTGGCCCCATCGGGCTACAGGGGCACTGTGACCCTGGTCAACCCCAGGAACCACCCGGCTGACTTCACCTGGAGGCCCATCATCACAGAGAAGGGCATCGCCTTCTCCATACGCCCAGCAACAGGTAGGCTGCCGCTCTGGGTTATATCAAAACAAAACACTGCTGTAGTCTAGTCTTCTATATGTTCTGGATGGTAATGTACTGTAGTCTAGTCTTCTATATGTTCTGTATGGTGATGTACTGTAGTCTAGTCTTCTATATGTTCTGTATGGTGATGTACTGTAGTCTAGTCTTCTATATGTTCTGTATGGTGATGTACTGTAGTTTAGTCTTCTATATGTTCTGTATGGTGATGTACTGTAGTCTAGTCTTCTATATGTTCGGATGTACTGTACGTAGTCTAGTCTTCTATATGTTCTGTATGGTAAATGTCCTGTAGGTCTAGTCTTCTATATGTTCTGTATTGTAATGATAACTGTAATCTAGGTCTTCTATATGTTCTGTAGGGTGATGTACTGTAGTCTAGTCTTCTATATGTTTCGGATGGTGAATGTATGTTAGTCTAGTCTTCTACATGTTCTGTATGGTGATTTGTATGTAGTTAGTCAATAATGTTCTGAATGGGGGATGTAAGTAGTTTAGTCTTTATATTTGTATGTTTAGGGGAAAGGAACAAATGTCGGTGGAAAAACAATAAGGGGAGTAACTTGATAAAAACATAGGATGGCAGTGGGGAGAAAGCATAGGACAAAAAAGCGGGGGGAGCAAAAGAGAGAGAGAGAGGAGAGAGGAGGAGAGAAAAGCGAGAGAGAGAGAGAAAAGAGGAGGCGAGAGAGAGAGAGAGGAGAGAGAGAGAGCAGAGAGAGAGCGAGGAAGAGAGAGAAGAAGAAGGAGGAAGAGAGCAGATAGATCTTCATCTAACCTCTCACTAAGTCTACTCTAGAGGTTTTACTAATTCTCTCGATTTCCGCCCGAATTAAGCAGTTTACCCCCTTTTGGCAAGCTTATGAGAAAAATTGATCTCTCTCTCTCTCTTCTCTGTCTCCTCGCTCTTCTCTCCCTCCTCCTCTCTCTGCCAGGTACTGTGGAGGCGTACAGGAGTTAGACTGTGAGGTGATGTGGCATCCCTCTTTCTACTCTCCTGTGGAGGGACAATTTGACCTGTGTGTTCACCAGGGAAACACAGCACACCTACGATGTGTGACCAAGGTGTGTGTGTGTGGTCGTGTGTGTGTGATGGTGATCGGTGTATGTTGAGATGTACTGAGATATGTACCCCATTCCCCTCTGTACAGCTTGGGTCATCCACTGTGAAGCTGTCTGAGAAACATCTGGTGTTTAGATCAGTACCTCTCAACTTCCCCTCTGTCAGGACAGCAACGCTATACAACACAGGACACAACCATGGCCCCCTTTCCAGGACAACACTAAAACAAGGTCTTTGTTACTGGTTTATACTTGTATGTGTGTGTTTTTCCGATGGTATAACATGTGTGTGTGTGTGTATCAGGTGTTGGACGTGTACCCCCTGCCTGGCATGGTGGTGACCCCCCCGAGGGCGTGGTTCCTGTGGGGGGGCAGGCAGAGGTCCAGGTGCACCTCAACCCTGGGTGTCATAAGTGACACAGGGGAGTGAAGGAAAAGACACACAAAACAAAAGCCAAAAAAAAATAAAGGAAAAAACACACAAAAAAACAAAACATTAAACCTAAAAAACAAATACAAAACTCTACAAACACAAAAAATAAAGCCTTCCAAACACACAACCTTCTTAAGCCTCTACAAAAACACACATACATAAGCCTTACAACACACAACATAAAACGCTCAAACCACAAAATATCATAAACTTACAAAACACAACTTCATAAGCTCTACAAACACAACATATTAAGCCTTAAAAACAAAATCATAAAGCTTAAAACAAAACAATATAAAGCCTCTCAAACAACAATTCTAAGCCTTAAACACACAATATCATAAAGCCCTACAACACAAAATTCAAAGAAACAAAATACATAAGCCCCAAACACACACATTCATTAAACTACAAAACACAAACATATAAGCCTCTACAAAAACACAACATTCTAAAGCCTCTACAACACACACAATCATAAGCCTCTACAACCACAACATATCATAACCTCTCAACACCAACATATATAAGCTCTACAAAACACAACATTCATAAAGCCTCTAAAACACACAACATATCATAAGCCTCTCAAACACACAATCATAAAGCCTATAAAACAAACAAAAAAAGCCCCCACAAAAAAAAACAATCATAAAGCTCAAAACACACCAATCATAAGCCCTACAAACACACACTATCTAAGCCCTACAAAAACACAACTACAAAAGCCACAACCACAAAAAAAACCCACAAACAACAAATCAAAAACCCACAAAACAACAAAATTAAAGCCTCTACAAACCACAACAAAATCATAAAGCCTCTAAAAAAACACACAACCCTATCATAAAGCCTCTACAAACACACAACCATCATAAAGACCCCTTTCAACACCAACTATATAAAGCTCTTTACAAACAACACAACATATCATAAGCTTACAAACACACAACTTCTAACCTCTACAAACCACCCCATACATAAAATTACCCCAACCTATCAAGCCTCTACAACCAAAATCATAAAGCCTTACAAACCCACATATCATAAAGCCTCTTACAAACCACAACATTCATAAGGGCCCCTACAAACCACACAACTATCATAAGCCTCTACAAACACACAACATATCATAAAGCCTCTACAAACACACAACATATCATAAAGCCTCTACAAACACACAACATATCATAAAGCCTCTACAAACACACAACATATCATAAAGCCTCTACAAACACACAACATATCATAAAGCCTCTACAAACACACAACATATCATAAAGCCTCTACAAACACACAAACATTCATAAAAACCTCTACAAAACACCAACATATCATAAGCCTTACAAACACACAAATATCATAAAGCCTCTACAAACAAAACAACATATCATAAAGCCTCTCAAAAACAACCAACTATCATAAAGCCCTACAAACAACAACATATCCTAAAGCCCTACAAAACACCCCAACATATCATTAAAGCCTTACAAACACACACCCTATCATAAAGTCCCCCAAAACCTCTAGCCTTACTGTCATTATTTCAGAAACCTAAATAACCTCTAGCCTACCTGTCATTATTCAGAAACCCCCAAATACCTCTAGCCTTACCTGTCATTATTTCAGAAACCTAAATAACCTCTAGCCTTACCTGTCATTATGTCAGAAACCCAAATAACCTCTAGCCTTACCTGTCATTATTTCAGAAACCTAAATAACCTCTAGCCTTACCTTATTATTTAGAACCTAAAAACCTCTAGCCTTTCCTGTCATTATTCAGAACCCAAATAACCTCTAGCCTTACCTGTCATTATTTCAGAAACCTAAATAACCTCTAGCCTTACCTGTCATTATTTCAGAAACCAATAACCTTGTCTACCTGTCATTATTTCAGAAACCTAAATAACCTCTAGCCTTACCTGTCATTTTTTCAGAGAAACTAAATAACCTCTAGCCTTACCTGTCATTATTTCAGAAACCTAAATAACCTCTAGCCTTACCTGTCATTATTTCAGAAACCTAAATAACCTCTAGCCTTACCTGTCATTATTTCAGAAACCTAAATAACCCCTAGCCTTACCTGTCATTATTTCGAAACCTAAATAACCTCTAGTCTTACCCGTCATTATTTCAGTAACCTAAAAAACCTCTAGCCTACCTGTCATTATGTCAGAAACCTAAATAACCTCTAGCCTTACCTGTCATTATTTCAGAAACCTAAATAACCTCTTACCTGTCATTATTTCAGAAACCTAAATAACCTCTAGCCTTACCTGTCATTATTTCAGAAACCTAAATAACCTCTAGCCTTACCTGTCATTATTTCAGAAACCTAAATAACCTCTAGCCTTACCTGTCATTATGTCAGAAACCTAAATAACCTCTAGCCTTACCTGTCATTATTTCAGTAACCTAAATAACCTCTAGCCTTACCTGTCATTATGTCAGAAACCTAAATAACCTCTAGCCTTACCTGTCATTAATTCAGAAACCTAATTAACCTCTAGTCTTACCTGTCATTATTTCAGAAACCTAAATAACCTCTAGCCTTACCTGTCATTATGTCAGAAACCTAGATAGTCATGATGGAAGAGCTTGCCTAACGAGGTGTGTGTGTTGCAGATAGTTCTAAGGAACATGAAATCTCTGGAGCTGAGAGTGGGCGGGTCGGTCGAGCCTCCCCTGGTGGACATCAACGTGGTGAGTTCATATGTCGAGCCCCCCTGGTGGACATCAACGTGGTGAGTTCATATGTCGAGCCCCCCCTGGTGGACATCAACGTGGTGAGTTCATATGTCGAGCCCCCCGGTGGACATCAACGTGGTGAGTTCATATGTCGAGCCCCCCTGGTGGACATCAACGTGCTGAGTTCATATGTCGAGCCCCCCTGGTGGACATCAACGTGCTTGAGTTCATATGTCAGCCCCCCCTGGTGGACATCAACTGGTGAGTTCATATGTCGAGCCCCCCCTGGTGGACATCAACATGGTGAGTTCATATGTCGACCCCCCCTGGTGGACATCAACGTGGTGGGTTCATATGTCGAGCCCCCCCTGGTGGACATCAACGTAGTGAGTTCATATGTCGAGCCCCCCCTGGTAGACATCAACATGGTGAGTTCATATGTCGAGCCCCCCCTGGTGGACATCAACGTGGTGGGTTCATATGTCAAGCCCCCCCTGGTAGACATCAACGTGCTGAGTTCATATGTCAAGCCCCCCCTGGTAGACATCAACGTAGTGAGTTCATATGTCAAGCCCCCCCTGGTAGACATCAACTTAGTGAGTTCATATGTCGAGCCCCCCCTGGTAGACATCAACGTAGTGAGTTCATATGTCAAGCCCCCCCTGGTGGACATCAACTTAGTGAGTTCATATGTGTGTGTGAATGTGGACTTGCGTGCATATGGACTGTATGTGTACGAAAGACACAGAACAGCAGAGAATAACAGCGTGTCCTGAATATGCCCTGTCAGGAGCACACCACAGTAGTCTCTTGTACTTTTCTTCTGAGTTGTGGAAAATAAACAAACCATACCATTTCATCATTATCAACAAAGTCTGCTGCTTCTGCAGTCATGTTTTTAAATGAATGGAAGAAGATGCCTGTGGTGGTGATCACTGCCGTGAAATAAACACATAGACAAAACTTTTTCCTTTTTGAAATGGGGAGTGGCTGTCTCAGCCCCTAGCTGGGGTCTGTAGAGTGAGGAGCTGCAGGGACACTTAGGCTTTGAAGAAGGCAGGCCACGCTTACAGCTGGACCCAACTTGATCCCACATTTATTTTAATTGGATTCCCCTGTTTCATTCTTTCATTTTCCAAGAGCGGAGCAGAGCTGTTCATTTTCCGAGAGCGGAGCAGAGCTGTCCATTTTCAGAAAGCTGAGCAGAGCTGTTCATTTTCAGAAAGCTGAGCAGAGCTGTTCATTTTCAGAGAGCAGAGCAGAGCTGTTCATTTTCAGAGAGCAGAGCAGAGCTGTTCATTTTCAGAGAGCAGAGCAGAGCTATTCATTTTCAGAGAGCAGAGCAGAGCAGTTCATTTTCTGAGAGCAGAGCAGAGCTGTTAATTTCTGAAGGCTCTTTTTTTGCCACAGTCAGAAAACAAAACATTCAGCTCGGTCTGAAAAATATTCAGACTCCTTATAATATTCCTCCTCTCAGAAACATCTCTCCATCTTTGTTATCCTCCTCCTCTTCCTCTTCCTCCTCCTCCTCCTCCTCCTCCTCCTACTCCTACTCCTTCGAGGCAAGCAACACTGAAGCATGCATGAGAGCACCAGCTGATCCGGATGACTATGTGATCACGCTCTCCGTAGCCGATGTGAGTAAGACTTTTAAGCAGGTCAACATTCACAAGGCCGCAGGGCCAGACGGATTACCAGGACGTGTACTCCGAGCATGTGCTGACCAACTGGCAAGTGTCTTCACTGACATTTTCAACATGTCCCTGACTGAGTCTGTAATACCAACATGTTTCAAGCAGACCATCATAGTCCCCCGTGCCCAAGAACTCTAAGATAACCTGCCTAAATGACTACCGACCCGTAGCACTGACGTCTGTAGCCATGAAGTGCTTTGAAAGACTGGTCATGGCTCACATCAACAGCATAATCCCAGAAACCCTAGACCCACTCCAATTTGCATACCGCCCCAACAGATCCACAGATGATGCAATCTCTATCGCACTCCACACTGCCCTTTCCCACCTGGACAAGAGGAACACCTACGTGAGAATGCTATTCATTGACTACAGCTCAGCATTCAACACCATAGTGCCCTCTAAGCTCATCACTAAGCTAAGGATCCTGGGACTAAACACCCTCCCTCTGCAAACTGGATCCTGGACTTCCTGACGGGGCCGCCCCCCAGGTGGTAAGGGTAGATAACAACACATCTGCCACACTGATCCTCAACACGGGGGCCCCTCAGGGGTGCGTGCTCAGTCCCCTCCTGTACTCTCTGTTCACCCATGACTGCATGGCCAGGCACGACTCCAACACCATCATTAAGTTTGCCGACGACACAACAGTGGTAGGCCTGATCACCGACAACGATGAGACAGCCTATAGGGAGGAGGTCAGAGATCTGGCCGTGTGGTGCCAGGACAACAACCTCTCCCTCAACGTGACCAAGACAAAGGAGATGATTGTGGACTACAGGAAAAAAAAGAGGACTGAGCACGCCCCCATTCTCATCGACGGGGCTGTAGTGGAACAGGTTGAGAGCTTCAAGTTCCTTGGTGTCCACATCACCAATGAACTATCATGGTCCAAACACACCAAGACAGTCGTGAAGAGGGCACGACAAAGCCTATTCCCCCCTCAGGAGACTAAAAAGATTTGGCATGGGTCCTCAGATCCTCAAAAATTCTACAGCTGCACCATCGAGAGCATCCTGACTGGTTTGCATCACCGCCTGGTATGGCAACTGCTTGGCCTCTGACCGCAAGGCACTACAGAGGGTAGTGCGTACGGCCCAGTACATCACTGGGGCAAAGCTTCCTGCCATCCAGGACCTCTATACCAGGCGGTTGTCAGAGGAAGGCCCTCAAAAATTGTCAAAGACTCCAGCCACCCTAGTCATAGACTGTTCTCTCTGCTACCGCACGGCAAGCGGTACCGGAGTGCCAAGTCTAGGTCCAAAAGACTTCTCAACAGCTTCTACCCCCAAGCCATAAGACTCCTGAACAGCTAATCATGGCTACCCGGACTATTTGCACTGCCCCCCCACCCCATCCTTTTTACGCTGCTGCTACTCTGTTAAATATTTATGCATAGTCACTTTAACTCTACCCACATGTACATATTACCTCAACTACCTCAACTAGCCGGTGCCCCCGCACATTGACTCTGCAACGGTACCCCCCTGTATATATAGCCTCCCTACTGTCACTTTATTTTACTTCTGCTCTTTTTTCTCAACACTTTTTTTGTTGTTGTTTTATTCTTACTTTTTTTGTTTAAAATAAATGCACTGTTGGTTAAGGGCTGTAAGTAAGCATTTCACTGTAATGTCTGCACCTGTTGTATTCGGCGCATGTGACCAATAAAATTTGATTAGATTTTATTTTATTTTATTTACTCTCAGAAATCCTTCCTGTTCCACGGGGTGCATTCTGGTTCCAGTCGTGGCGTTCCATTCTCCCTGAGGAACCGTTCCTCTGCCCTGGCACGGGTCCAGTTTGACCTGTCAGAACACACTTACTTCACCATCCACTTCCCCCCACACTCTGCAGGTATATATTTGTTTGATTGATTGACTGATAAATTCATTGACTGTGACTGAAATGCTCTAAGAAGATAGACTGTCATAAACTGTCAGCCTAGTTCAATTTAGATGTATGGATTACTAGACTGGATGGTCAGGGGCGTAGGACACGT